GATGTATTAGGAGATAGTTAATCTACATCCCAGGAACAATCGTGGTTGCTCATGTATTGAATGTGCATCAAAGTTGGCTTTTGAGTACGTTCTGTGCAGTTCAACTTCTCTGTCATGCCACAGTCACCACCTATACTGGCCAGAACTAGCACATTTTGAGATTATCTGTATTGCAGTCTGTCCTGGAACAAAGTTAGATGGGAATTAAGTATTCCTAGTACAATGCTGCTTCTCTGTTTGAAAGTTGGTTTTCTTCTACACCATTGTTCGGTTCATTATTTAAGTGGATGCTGTTTGTCTCTAAATACTTTTGTTTTCAGGTACTTGAGTACAGGTATCTTTCTTTTCCATGAATTTGTAACTGTGATTTACTCTTGTAAAATTTCTCTACCCCGCTGCTGCAGAAGGCTCTAAAGCACCGTAAGGTGTTCAACAAAAAATGGTGCTGGCTTACACTAGGAAATTGTGCTCCTCACTGAAGTAGTTTAAACAGGAGATTGAAGTCCTATTAGACTTGCTGGATTAGACTGGGGAAAAATAAGGTTTGTTCTGCTTTGATGCAACAACTGTTGTAGACCATTCCCACTGCAGGAACCTCCTGGCAGCTGTTCAGAATTGTGAAGGGGAGGCTTCACAGGACAGTTCCAAGCAGTTTGCTTAGAAAGGACCAAAGGAACTGCCTCATATGGTTGCACCCTTGCTATCATAGAATAGTTCACATTAAATTGGTGCTCTGCTAAAGGTAATTGTAGTAAGATACTGCGTGTGTGTGTGAGAGAGAACTGTGTAAAACAGGTAGAGCTGTGAAATTTTTTGAGGGTATTTGAAATTTAAAACCAGGGATCACTTGCATGTTAGAAGCCAAAGCACTATTGTATGGCTAAAGCAAGGAAACTGCTGTGGAGGAAGGGAAAGGTTTTCCCTTTGATTTCTTAATGAATTGGTGTCAGTTTAGTAGAAGAACATAGGAAAACACTAAAGAAGTATTCAAGTTAGTGGTGTTTTGTTTCTCCAGTGTTCATAGTCAGCTCTACCCTCAGTGCTTCCTCTTAGGCTTGTTTTTTAACAAGTATGGGAGATGATCTTTGTATCCTAAAATCAGAGGGCCCATTCTCACTCTTACTATTCCCCAGCCACCTCTCCTGAGACTCACAGCTGTTTGGATGTGCAGAGTCAGACTTGGAAGCCACCTCGGCACCCCTCACATACCCCAAGTCCTTTTGACTTCCATTTGGAGTGAGTACAGGAAGTGGGTCTTCAAACACTGATATTTACATGATCCTTACATATTCCATCTGTTTGGCTCTGATATTTCTTAATTCTGTTCTAAATTGTTCTGAAGTGATCAAAATGTTTGATTTGACCGATGTGCAAGTGTATTCCTATTTCTTATCACAGTCTGCACTGATGGTTACAGTTAACCCTGAAATACAGTGTCATGCTCTGGGATTTCATTAACTAAAGAAGCTATTTTTAATCTAACTTTTGAGATGATGATTTTTTCCTAAGATGTTTTCCATTTCACTTGCTGTGTTGTTTGCATTAACTTTTCTACATCACTACATTTCAAGTGGAAATAGGAAAGTTCAGAATGGGAAATGTGTACTTAAGGATCTCACTATGAAAACAGTGAGAAAATAGTTTCCTTGTTAGTTTTCAGAGATTATATTTAAGCAGTGTTTGCCATGCAAATACATCTTTGTATTTGGGAAATTGCTAGTGTGTAGCTGTAAGCTTGGTTGAATGAAGTACTGTCACATCGAATTCAATATACAGTAAAGGCAAGAGTTGCGAAGCAAGTGAGGAAGTAGTTTTGCCAGTAAGAAATCTCAGTTTCACCCTTCTTATTTTCACAGCTGGAAAGCAGAGACAGCATTTGAGGCATATTACAACAGGGACTATAAACAGCTTGGGAATAGATGGCATAAATTCACTTCTAAGTATTGTAACTTAAGGGTGAAACAAAAGATATCTGGCTAAGAAACAAGCCTGGCTGTCCTTTCATTACTGTTGAAGTAATTATTTCCATCAGTAGTGAAGCTGTATAAAATGAGACAGCTACACAAACAGGCCCCACAGCACATGGTGTTCATCCTCTGAAGGAGGTGCCATCTCTTATGTAATTGCAAGACTTCCATGAACACAGTGGCAAGAGGGATGTTTCAGACACCGGTAACCATTGAGTGCAAGCCATTTGTGGCAGCCATTTTCAGTAGCATTTGCTTTAAAAATTGCTGGTGTTGGAAAGGGTGGGAAACTTCCCCAGGCCTGGCAAAGAGGTGTAACCCCAGTGAGAAGCAGGGACTGCAGCATGGCCCATGGCACTCATGCTGGGGTGGCCCAGCTATGGAAAGCTTCTGTCTGTTGTCTTTCTCCCAGCCAAAAGACAACTTGGTATCTACAGCCACCCAACTCTTCCCTGTTTCCATTTGCTAATGCCAGTGATAACAACCTTTGCGTTACTGTAAGACTTTTTTGAGAAGTTTGTAAATGCGTAAAATGAAAATATGGAAAAATTGTGTACCAAAATGGTATCAAAATGTGTAAGATAAATGCTCTGTTTAATGAGAAGCTGTAATTAAATGCTGCTTTGAGACAGTGTGCATGAGGACACATGTTGAATATCCTGTGTATCTAGAAGATGTGTTAATGACAGCAAGTTATCCAGTTATGTTGGAAAACTTCATGCTAATATGGAATATGAAGGAAAAATAACATTTTACTTTAAGCAAAAGTTGGGTATTGAGTTTCTTGGACAACTTCATGTGCATAATCATTGTTAAATATGTTCATAATAAAGTTTTATATCTTTATATTGTAGCTTAGTTCTATTTTCCTTCTAGCACCATTTTCATAATTTACATCTATCTATTATTTGCAGTTTACATGTATCTTCTTATGCATATTTAAACTTGGTTAATTGCATAAGGATGAGATTCAGGAGGCTGTGGCAGTACAGATTAACCAGTATCTACCTCTGGAGTAAAACTTAACGTTACTGGGTTTTTTTCCTCCCATACAGCACTTACACTGATAAGCATCCCAAACATTTTTGTCTGCACTTTAGCACCTTCATGAACCAACAAACAACAAAAAGAAAAAAAAAAAAAAAAAAAATCAAGGGTTTTGCTATTATTGGCATGAGCAAAGGACAAGGAATGTCTGAATAGCTTGACCAAGAAGTGAAGTGTTTCTAAAAGTAAACAGTGACTCAAAGTGCACAAAACTATTTCTTCTAAAAGTAAACAAGAAGCTAAAGAGGTGCTTCGCAACAGCCGCCTTCTGGAATGCTGATGGAAAGGAGATAAAGTATCTAACTATCCAGATCAAATACGAATGTCCTTAGCAATTCAGAGATTAAAGATCTGTTCTTTTTATAACAAGTTCCTCTCTCACCCTGATGACTAGTTTCAGGCACTGTATTCAATCTTTGTTTTAATATTTTCTTTTTACAGGTGTTGTATCATTTCTGACACTGAATGCTCAGCATTAAGTTTCTTGTCAAACTAGCGCTAAAGCTCTCTACTACAGAAATGCAGTACATATACACTCTATAGCTCCATCACACTCCTTAGGCCGTATGCTGGAATAAAGTGACCTGTCATAAATGAGACACGTCCACAGGTTTGTTTTGAAACTTGTACACTAACAGAAACGTGTCAGCCTTTAAACTGTATTCAAAGTCTTGATGGTACAAAGGTCAAACCTGCTGACAGCAGAAATGGGTAGGAAGAGTCAAAGCCTTGCGCAGCATGGAGCAGGGGCGGTTATGCAGTCTGTTTGGTTACACTGAGCAGTCAGCAGAGAGAAACCCCTACAGCCAGCACTATGAAAAGCAAACCCTCTGCTGGCACTGGAGTTTTTGGCACTGGAGTTTTCAGCATTGCATCTTTCTAGATCATGGAAACACACTGCATCAGCAGTGATCTCATTGCAAATGGCGTCAGCGAAGAACCAGATTCTGAAAACGTGTGTCAGGGCTTCCTCAACATAAGCAAATGCAGGTCACTCACACTGCCTCCAGCCTGGAATCCTCTACCCCGCTGGCTTTGTAATTCTTTCAACTTCACCAGCACTGAGCTACTGCTTACAGCAGCAGCACAGCAGTTCATAGGGGTAGTCTGAAATTTATAGCATGTGCTATTAGCTGACAAAAACTTACCCAAAGCCTATGCTGAAAACAAGTCTTACATGTTCCTCCTCTGCAGCTTTACTCTAGAATGCAGGAGACTTATTCACATGTTATTTAGTCATGTCCCCCTGAGGCTGGTTTTTCCCCTGTCGGAAAGGTTCATGTTTTACCAACTATCAGAGCTCATCACAAACCATCACCAAAACCAACACAGAGGATAACAGGGAAGTTCAAGACCTACTCAACATGCATAACTGGCTGTGGGAGTGAATGGTTACCCATGTACAGCTTGCTGAGCACTCCTAGAATGTGAAAACCTTATCTGCCCTTTTTCGCTGAAGACAGTTATTTCTATCATTCCATGCCTTCAAAACCACACAATCAGATTAGAGGTACCAGAAATGCAGACAAGTTACTTTCTAATAAACATCATCTAATTTTCTTGCAATTTTGTAGGGACTCTTCATTAGGGACCGTAGTGACAGGACAAGGGGTAACGGGGTTCAAACTTAAACAGGGGAAGATTAGATTGGATATAAGCAGGAAATTCTTTCCTATTAGGGTGGTGAGGCAGTTGAATGGGTTGCCCAGCGAGGTTGTGAATGCTCCATCCCTGGCAGTGTTCAAGACCAGGTTGGACGAGGCCTTGGGTGAGATGGTTTAGGGTGAGGTGTCCCTGCCCATGGCAGGGGGGTTGGAACTTGATGATCTTAAGGTCCTCTCCAACCCTAAGTATTCTATGATTCTACAACTTGGGTAAAACTACGGAAGTGCTTTGCATTCTGGTATGTACCTCAGCTAGCTTGAAGAGAAAGATTTGGAACTTTTTAAATATCAAGAGTTAAGTTTAAATGAATCACACCAATGGTTATGAATTTCAATAATTTAATGCTAACCAAAAGTACAAAGTATGAAAATCAGTGTCTCGTTTAGATTGGTCTTAAAAAAGAAATCTAGAGAAAGTGTGTGCACTGCAGCAGATTTCAGTACTAGCACCTTGAAGAGAAGTTCTTGAAGTGTTAAGACAGTGTGGCAACACTGCTACAATACTAAGAACAAACATAAACCATGTAACAGCATGTTTTTACGCTTCTACTTTTGAAAAAAAGTTACTAAAAAAGTACATTAAAACCAGAAGTTGTTCAGTGTATTCACAGTTTGAGTAGAGGTGGACTTAGGTGCTGGAGTAGAAAAGAGAAGGGTGAATAGATTCCAAGGCAATCAGATTGCAAGTCCAAAGGCACTGACAATACAGTACACAGTCTTATTCTCCCATCTCACAGTGCAGGTCCCTACAAATACAAAAAAAGGGTTTCAGAGACAGAAGAGTGTAACAGTGATTACATGCACACCCTTAGGTACAGGTTTGTAATTTACATTTAGAACCTTAAGCATGAAGCTTTCACAACAGCTAAACAGTTCATATGTAGCAGAGCTGGCACCACACCCACACAGAAAACGCACCAATGTATTTGCTATTACTCCAGAAGTACAGCACTTGGGAAAACACAAAAGTATATTGCCTAGCTTAAGGGGATGAGCTGAAAAGTCCAACAGTTGCGTGCCTTACCATCACTGGAGTTGTCCCAGAAGCAAGAGCTTGCTGTATGTAGCCCAGCACCATTTTTTTGCATAATCACACAGGTCACTGTTAGTAGAGAAGCTTTTATTAATCTATCACTGACATCAATTAACATTTAGTTCAATTTTTGCTTAGTATAGCACATACACACATGCTTATGAGTAGTTTACAGACACGGTTCTTGCCAAGATTTTCCCCCACCCCCACCCATCAGCACACTTGTCTATATCAGCTTTAACAGCAAAGAGAAAACAGCTCACCAATATACTTGAAAGGCTTCCCCAGCTTTGTGAGTTGGCTCAGCGTTTGCTCTACCACACTGGTTGTCCACTGGTTCACCTTGCTGTGCTGGTAAGTATTGCCACCTATTGCACTTTCTATGGCCTATTGGCAACAAGTACACACAATAAGCTTCACAAGGCAGCCATTAGCCTGTTCCCCATAGCCACAGAAAAATTCCTAAATCCTGCTTGTCCATACCGATCGTTGGAAGTGTTTTCAATTACTACAAAAATTTAACCCCAGCTCATTCATACATATTCCTCTACGAAAATGATATTCAGATTTGTCAGCAGAACCATTTTTGGGAAACAAAACCCCAAACTGAAACAAAAGATTCATGTGGTTGCGGGTTACTAAGAGAGCAGTAGCCTTCAGCCAAACAGACCATTTTGCTTACGAGGATAGTTTCCCCTTTAAGATACATGTAAGTACATTAAAGCTGCATGGTTTCATTGACACATTTTTTCCTCACAGAAATTGTTTTAAAAAAATAGCCACAAAATCATTTCAGATTCAGGAGAGACAAAAGCATGCACTGAAGCATGTGCATTCAATTTACAGAGTGACCAAAATGGCTGGTTTGCAATGAGAAAAAGACTGCACTAGTTTAGTCTACAAGAGGAATTCTGGACATAAGAACCCCACCCCAAATCCCTCTGGAATTTTTCTAGACAGGAAATTCATGTTTCTTAGCAACAAGAACAGTTTAAAATCCCAAACAAGAACTCATTTTGGAGGAAAGGCAACTCATACACAGTTACATGCACATACAGACAGCCTAGAAAAAAGCCCTGTACGTTACTGAAACATAAAATCTATTTCTATGGGGTTTAACCTAAAAAAATTCCAATAAGGATACACTGCAATGAGAGAGAAGCATATGAAATTACTTTAATTATCATCTGGATTTGCAATGTATATCACAACTAAAGCCAGGTATCCCACACTGGTTAAATCAGCGATTATACTTTGATAGCAACCTAGCTAGAAATCTATCACATCTCAGTTATCAAATTTTCTTGAATGCCTTTTAGAACACAGCATATGATATACTCTACTTTCACACCAACAAAATTAAAGTGTTCATTTACCTCTTTAATGATGGCACTGACTTCATCGACAACAAAGGAAGTCTACAAAAAAAAGTAGAATTTTAAATAATCAGTGGACACATTTCTCTGATCTGAGAGTTCAAGCTTTGTTAAGAATATGCACAAGAAGCTTAATTTATGCTTGTCAATTTCTTGCAAGTCAGGAGTTTGGAGTCTTCCTTTATTTGCCAACATGTCCTTTGGCCCCCTGAACCCAGGAAACATTCTTAGCAAACTAATGAAAAGTAACAGGTGAACTAATATTGGCTGGCCCTTAGAGGCAAAGTTCTCAAACTTTAACTTGGCAGTATTTTGGAACAACATATACAGCACTTCTGTAAATGTATATTCACATATTACAACAAGCATTAATGTTCACAGTTTGCAGCAGGGTTGCAGAGGTAAGCTCAGTGTGCAGGAACAGCTTACATTTAAACTAAACCAACATCTCCAGGGCACTGATGCGGACAAAACATTAATTGACAGCTTAAGGAGAAACTGCCATGACAATCTCAGCTGGGGACACAAAGAAAAGTGCCTTGGAAACAAAAGGGGAAATCCAGTTTGATGTCCTTCCCAGCACCTCAGCCTTCTCCCAGGCTCTGGGGAGCAGAGATTAAGCACAGAGAAGGCCCCAACATTTTACTAATCTTAAAACTACACTCGTATGGTTAGTATGTTTTCCTGGTTGAGTGCCTCAGCTATTGCTGCCTCCCACGTAAGACAGTTAAAACAAGCAGGACCCCACATGGCATGGCAGCAAGCCATGCACCTTGGTTTTACTGCTGGTATCTCACCTCATAAACCAGAAGAAATGAATCAGACAAAAGAAATGCACATAACAAATTAATTAATTTCAGAAGACTGAATAAGGATTTCAAAATGAACTTCATGGAGTATATATTGTCTGAGTTTTCACTGGCAGGTCTGTCAGCTTCTCCAGCTGGCAAACACGAATAACAGCATAACTCACTTGTGCAGGCAGGACGTAGTTACACCCGCTTAGAATGTCAAGATTCTATTGATAAACCTTTGGCCAGAACACTCTGGCTGGCTTCAGTGACATTCAGAAATACGTGAACAGCTGAGTGTTCTCTGAGAGAAGAAACAGCGGGATACATGCAAGCAGTGCCTTTTCTCTATTTGGAGGCACCAACCTGCCTGCACACATCAACATTTGTAAAAGCTTTTATGTGCTGTGGCAAACTGGCTTTTATTTTCAGCTTCTTGACTTTGATTTAATTTTAATACGCCTCATTTGTTTTCATGGTACTAAATTTTACAGGTGCTTATGTTTTAAAGAGCATATTGAAACAAAAAAGAGCGCCAATTATCAAAATACTCCTTCCCTAGAGCATAAGTTAAGAATATGGATGCCAGACATGCTGGCAGACATGAAACATGCTGTCAGGCAAGATGATAAACTACATATAGCTTTTTCCTTTGTGAAGTCAGGAACTCTGCTCAGAAACGCCTTCGAGTGAGCATAAACAAGTTCACCAAAGCAAACTGAATTAAATTCAACCCAATTTCAAATTCTCCAAGGTATTTTGAGGACTAATTTGTACTGAAACAAGTGGGAAAGAGCCATACAGAGATTTAAGAATTTGATTCTAGAGTTGCTGTTACCTCTTGACTGTCTTCCTTTTTGGGGATCACAGTGAATATAGGTTTAGATGCATGACAAAACAGAACACAAAGTTCTGATATCCAACTTTGTGATTTATGTGCTATAACTGAGCTGCTAAATCACACACCACTACCAGTCCATCTTTTAACAAGATGATATAAGCACTTTCTGTATTAAATCAGCAGCTTATTCTTTACCTGCGCTACCCATCTGGCATAGGGAGATCAGATATGATGTTTCCAGTACCTTGTTTAAGCAGGGCGTTCCCAGGCAACAAATATAAACGGCAAAGCAGCCTTGGTTTTTCATCATTCTGAGGATGTTTTTGGAAACAGCTCTAAGAATGATGTTTAAGCGTGTTAAAGAAAACCCCCGAAACCTGTAACTGTATAACATAGGCCAGACCCAGCAATGAGAACAAGGCTTTCAGAACAGCACAAGTCTGACCCACCTTCGCACTGCTTTGCTATTGTCTAACCAAGTCACAGCGCAGCTGTTTAAGAACAATGCAGCAAATTGTCACAGCTCACAAAAAACTGTCCCTCTGCAAGAGCACCACTTGCGGGGCAGTCACTTACTGTGATACAGACCCTTGATTTCTCCGACTCTTTATCCCCATTAACGGGGTACAATGTCTCATTAGTGAACCTACCTGGCTGAACTCTTCTTTCCTCACAAATTTAGCTTATTTGAGTCTTTCACTGAGGTAACCCGTAAACCTTCTACCACAGCATACTGCCTCACCCCGCTGGGGGGGGACCAGAGGCCACGACACCCCCCGAGCGTTTTCTCTAAGCGATTTGCAGCGGCCGCTTTCGGGGGAGAGGCAGGCGTGTGGAGAGGCCAGGAAAGAGGAGTCAGCCAACTCCCGAAACACAGGCAAAGGGCTGGCCCATCGGTTACCGGCCGTACTCCCGGGAGGAGGAACAAAGACTGGGCCTGTCGTCAGCCGCTACGCGGGATGCGCCGCTCAGAGACGCCGCCAGCGCCCGGCGCCACACCGGCGGAGGGCAACAGGGGACCGGAGCGATGAGGAGTAGAAGAGGCGGGCGGGTTCCCAGCGGCCCCGGGTTCACCCAAGCGGTGTGGTCCGGGAGGACAGGTACCACCTGAGACCCTCCGCCAGCACTGAAAGGAGAAGCCGGGGCAGTCCCGACGCTGCCCTCCCGCTGCCCCCAGCCCCGTTACCTCCTCCGCCGGCTGGAACTCGTCCATCTTCCCGGTGAAGCCCCTCACGCCGCAACCGACACCACCCCCTCACCGCTGCACTCCCCGCGCCGGCCGCTACTCGCGCTGCGCCTCCCACCGACTCCGCGGCACCGGGGCGTTTGCGCAGTGCGCCTGCGCACACACTCGCCTCCCCCGCGCTCGCAGCCGCTCCATTACGTCCCGGGCGCGTAGCAAGGGGAGGTTCCGTAGGCTATGCCTGCCCAGCGCCCGCCAAGATGGCGCGGTTTCCATAGCGACAGCGCGGAGGTGTCAAACGGCGCAAAGCCTGAGAGAGGGAGAAGCTGCTTGTCAAGGGTAGATAGCTTTGCATGCAGATAGACAGCTCGCCGTTTGTGTTCCGCAGCCGTGCCTGCGAAGAGGGACATCCAAGAGGTCTTTCCCTGGAAAGGACGGTCTGCATCTTGCTTCTGGAAACAGAGCTTGAAAAGAAGACCTGAATATGTCATGTATGCGCAGGAGCTATTGAAAAACCAAAACCAAACAAAACAACCCTAAACAAAACAAACAAAACCCCACAAACAAACAAACACATGGAAAGACATGAAGAATACCTGAATTCTTACACCTGGATGTTAATGAAATTAAAGGGCATGCTTTTCACAGTTTATGGATTTTGTGTTATGCAGTGTTAACAGGTTGTCCCAGTGTCTGATGATACCGACCTCAGAGAGCTGCTGTAGGCAGTGGGAGATGCTGTTCCGGCTCAGAGTACCATACATGAACTGGAAATATAGCCTGAATGAAGGGAAAAAATAACAGGGAGCAAGTGCAAGGTGTGTACTGAGGCAGGAATACCTAGCTCTATAAATGCAGACAGGGCAGGACTGGCTCATTCAGTACCTGTTCCATAGACCAGGGAGTAAAGGGGTGTGAGAGGTACAATTTTCCTAAATTCATCCTATGATGTGGTTAAAAAAGGGAAGATGCCATACTGGGATGTGGAAATGGATGTATAGCTTGCAGGACATGGGAAGCAGGATTTCCATTGCACTCTCTGTAGTAAGGCCTTGCAAGGAATGCTGTGTCCAGGTTTAGGCTGAGGGAGTTAAAGCCTCAGGGCCTGAGTACCAACGGGCCTGAGCCTCCCTGACCAGCCCCAGCTGTGGTCTCCACCAATGAGCCCCTCTGCTTCAGGCTTGTCTCTTCAGTGAACCTCTGCTATATGTTTCGCACTTGTCTCCACTCCTGTGTCAGACCCTGCTTTTCTTGAAGCAGAAGAGCCAGTCCCCTTGCCTTGGGAGTGTGTAGGGGCACCATGCAGGCAGCACCCACTGCTGGATGTGGTGGGATTGTGGCTGGCTGCTCAGCCTGCCCAGCCTGCCCTCAACTCATCTCTGAGCCTACACTTGCTGCTCCTGCCAGCCTGAAAGCAGAGATGAAAGGTGAGGCTATGGGAAGGTTGAACAAGTGGAGCTTGTTTAGGCATGTTCTTAGCAGGTATAAAATACTGCAGCAGTTTTCCATGCTTAGGGATGAGAGGGAAAAAAACAATGAGGTGAAAAGTGTGGTGATTAAGGTTGTGGTTAAATATTGGGGGAAAGCTGGTGGTAAGGCTGATGTCTTTCAACCTGGATTTGTGATATTACACATCTGTTGCTGTGGGTAGTTACAGTTCTCAGGTTATTTCTGAGCTTTCATTTAGTTAAAGTTTTACCTGAAATGAAGGCCCAAATCATCCAAATATTCTTTGTTGAGCATAACTGTGCTCTACTAACAGTTACTTTCTGTTTGGCAGTACAGCTGTAGAAGGTAATTAGACTTGACATACACAGGTGGAAATGTCTGAACCTATTTAACTGAGAAGGGCTGCTCCAAGGTACATACCATTTATCTGGTAGAGCCAGGAGTGAAACAGGAGATTGATTTCCAAGAGCAGCAGATTTTGAAATAACTTGGATGTAATTTTGAACTTTATCACTCCCATTTGGTTCTGTAATAGATTGAACTGGGATAACTAATCCAAATAATATTATAATTTTTAATCATTATCTGAGATCGAATTTCTAGTTATAAAGTTTAGTTTGGGTGTTTTTTTTTCACAGATGCATTAAAAAAAATTCTTTTAAACTTTTTTACATTAATTGCTTTGTCATTCAAACCTGAAAACCATTTTGTTTCCAGGAAAAGACTGTTCATGATACAAGCAGAGTTTTTTGTGCGAGTCCTGGGGCCAATGAGGTTAGTAAGATTTTCACATGCATAGTGCCAGAGAAAGAAATGATGTAGAACTCAAAGCCACTTCTCTTCCTGTGTGGCTTGAAGGCTGAGCATAGTTTGATGGTATCAGTCAGCTTTTATAGTCTTTTGTGTTCACTCTCTTTTTAATGTTAGAAAGAGGAGTAACTTTTCTTGATTGCTTGTTGCTGGTAACAAAACCAGACACCTGGGGAAAGCTGCTGTAATATTACAGATCTTTGTTGAGTGTATTTGCTTTTAGCTGTTTGAAGGATGCTCCTCTCTACATGAGTCAGTCTAATTTTGGTGTCCAAAGGAAGGAAAGGGGGTGGAGAACAGCCACCATTTTTTTTTTTCTTTAAGCAAAGATAAGTAGAGTGCTACTCATCTCTTAAAAGCAATTTACTTCCACCCGTCTTTCTCTGGTGGCTGCTGAAAAGGTAAGGGCATTGTTTTAATCTGTTCTATATGACATTGCACAGGGGGATGAATTTTTACTTGGATGTTGGGTTTTTTTAAACTGCAAAGATTTCATAGAAAGACCACAACTGGAGCTTAAGTGTCTCTGTTGGGTTTGGGTTTTGTTTGTTTTTTGTTTTTTTTACTGTAAGTGCTGGCATGGGATGTCATTAAAATCACAAGACATAACTTTGGTAAAATATTATCAAAGAACTTTCAAGTAATTTGCATGTGTGCATGCAAGGATGTGAAAATTAAACTGCTACAGCCAGGTAGTGCAAAGTAACACTTGTAATTTTCTTAACTAAGAATAAATTTCTGTGATTGGCCTCTACAGAACAGAAAATAGACACAAATTACAGTAGTTTTGTGATAGTTTTTATCTATATTTTTAATCTGTCCTAGCTACTGATGTACTGATACATCCATCTTCTGGGTTAACGGATGTAAGTAGTCCAGTTATCGCAAGTCAATGAAGGCCACAAATTTAGAAGATCAGCTTATTTATACTTATTTAATTGTAATTATTTTGCTAATGCTTAAGGATCTGAATGGAGATCAATAATACATTACATGCAAGATCGCTTTGAGAAAAAGCTTGCTAAGTCAGGCATTTCTAAGTTCAAAAACTTAAACTACCCTTTGCAAACTTAATCTTGTCTAAGGCAGGCCTTTTGGTTGATGTTCAGTTATAGAGCTGCATACTGTTCTAGTCTAATAGAAAAAAACATGGCCTTCTGAGGTTGCACTGTGTGTGTGCATCTCTCCCTCTCTTAAGGTGTCACCACACTGGTTGTCCAGTCTCCTTTACAATGGCTTTGAGCCTTTGCATGATATTTTTAAAAAGCTACTGATCCATCTGCAAGGTGCCTGACACTGTTTTACTTTAAATACATAATTTAAAATAATGTTTGAACAAAATATTTCATCTGAGCTTTGTGGGAGAAGTGTCATTGTATTTACTACAGAGGTTGCTGCTGCTTTTGGTTTCATGTAGAAGACACTCAGCTTTGAGGTTAGCTGACTATGTAAAACGGCTAGCTAGCTGGGTTCAGTGGGTAGATGTGAACGGAGGGCACCTGAGAAGGTTTTTTAAATTATTTTTTCCGGTCGAGGAGGATCATTACTGAAAACACCACTTGTAGCAAGTGACCAACTGGTTTTAATGACGGTGCTTGCAGTACCACTGATGGGCTGCAGTAGGATGCCCTTCTGAAGAATCGTGCCCTGGCTAGGGCAGAAGCTGTATTTCCAGGGGGGAGTAGCTGTGTGCAGGGCAGAGTGGAAACAAGAGGGAGGCTCCAAGCTGTTCCTTTCCTCACACCATTTAAATTTGAGCAAGCTTGAATAGCTGAAAAAATAATAAGAAAAAAATCTGCATCTCTAAATAAGATTCTATATGCCCTCAATATTTTTCATACAGTAAGATGTTATCTGAAACCCATTTACTCAAAATAGCCATGAAATGTGGAAAACTTTGTATTCTTCTATGAAGAAGGGAGATGGTCCTTTTATAAAGCATTTGAAGGAGATATAAGAAGTATTCTGTGCTTACTTAACTGCAGAAGTTGCTCTTAGTAACTGTTTTACTGTGGCACGTTCTTAGTAGCCTTGCAAGACATTCATATATTTTCTTTAAAATCATTAGAGTGCTTTTATGGGATCCAGCTAATAATGACTATCACAAATTTGCTAGCTTGTACTGATGCTTCCTCAGGGCATTCTGATGATTGTGTAGATATGCTAGCCTTTGGAAATTGTAGGAGTTCATAGAAAATGTATCTTGCCCAGTAATGAGTGTTTTGATATCCTTCATGCGGAGGTCGCTGAGTTTGTGCTGACTGCTCTTTTAGACTGTATTGACTTGAATTGAAGACTCAAAACATGTTCATCAATCCTGGGAGGTATTTTTGAGGTAAAAGATGAAAGCGGGTAAAGGAAGCAGGGGCCTTTGAAAATTACATATACTGTATTAAAAAGTTGCTCAGGCTTTTTAGCTTTCAACTGAGTAACTTCCTGTTAAACTGCAGTTTGTAAGGAAATAAAGTATGATTCTGCCTATCTCTGCCTCTTTTGCTTCCACAGGAAGACAATCTTTGAAGACAATCTTTTTTTTTTTTTTTTTTTTCCTTTCTTCCTTTCTTGACATTGCTTCTGTGAAACACATCGTTCTTTATAAATACAAATTGTCACCTGCTTTTTTCTTTTTCTTTTTGTGGGAAATTAAGTAGCTTGATTGGGCAAGCTGTATGTAAAGTAATTCCCAGCACTGAAAAAACACATTGTCGCTATATATCTGAAGTTTTGGTGCAGGGTGGGTGTTTTCCTTTGGTTTTTTGTTTGTGGGGTTTTTTTAATTTAAAACTCACAGTATTTTAACATGCAGATAGTTGGTCAGACTCTCAGCTGAGGCCCATCACTGAAGCATCAGTAACTGCTTTGGGAAAGTTTTCCCCTTGCTGTCCTAGTCCCTAGACATTCTGCCTAGAGCTTGACTGCATGTATTTCATACAGATTAAGTTTGAAACACCCAGTTTTTATGTATAAATCTTTAATATTTGGTGTACCATGTGTGGAATGCTCTTCTATGTCTTGTAATAGACACCAGACAGTAGTATTAAAACTGAATATGTGTGTAAGCTGAATTAGTTTGAGTAATCATTTTCTTGCTCTACTTTGCTGTAAAATACATTAAAATTATTTCCTATTGTTTTTGAAGTTTTACGAAAGTGAAAATCACAGAATATATCCAAAATACAGTTGTGATTCTGTTTTAATTTTATACTTCTCATTTATCTGTGCACCAACATCATCAGTTTGGAGCCAGAATTGTTAGTGCACTGAGCTGGAAATAATATATATCTTAAGTCTTCAGTGTTTGTGTGTATTAAGAAAGATAAACATTATTGGGTATTAAACTGTTTATTTAGACTTAACAGACTGAGGTAACTGGTAGGAGAGACCCTTAAAGGGTTTATTTTGCTCTTTCCTCTTAAACTTGATGTTTTATCTTTTCAGTAAGATGAGATTAGAAAGGGGCGTTTTGTCTCGACCAGTATGGCTTTTCCACTTAAGGGACCTGTAAACCTTTGTTCAAAACTAATTTAAGCTTCTTTATTGGTTGTTTTATGTTTACTGAATAAAAAATGTGAAGGCTTATGTCTGAGTATAACGGGACAAATACGGTAAAACTGTCTGCAGAACAGGACTGTCTCAAAGCCTCTCCTGTATCCGAGTTAGTGCATAAAAGGTCTGAGGATAGCAAAGTGTGGTCTTCACATACTACCTAAAACGTCCTGAAGAGGTGAAAAGACTGATAGCATGTTCGGGTTTTTTTGGTTTGTTTGTTGGGTTTTTTTTTTTCTGTAGGTCTGGAAATGTCAAATCTGCAAGACCAAATAAAAAAATCCTTCCATTCCTTTACACCATCTCTTGGTGTCCCTCCTTCTGGTGACAGTTAAAGCCCAATCCTGAGCCTTGCTGCAAACTCTCATCTCTTTTGGAACCACTCTCAGCCACAAAAAAAAAAAAAGAAAACAAAAAGTTATTTTGTGTGAAACAGACAAGCTGCTGTGATCTTGCTAATTGTTCATGTTCCCTGGGTAGCAGAAACACTTAAATGATGACTTTTGTGAAGACAGACATGGTTGTTTTTCTCTTCTGGGGTATGATACAGTGAACCATATCACTGAAATGTTAAGAATGCAGGCACTTATAAACACTCGGACCACTCTGACTACTCTATAAAGTAGTATCCATCATTCCAGGTGCTGTAGAACCATAGGACAGGAGTCTACAAAAGAGGACGAGTTTGGGGAAAATGGCCTGTGAATTCAATCTAAACTTCCTTAAGCAACAGGAACAAGAAGCTGTTCTAGAAGTCCTGTACCGTGACCAGATGGTGAGAGAAACAGAGGAGAAAAGAATAAGGTATCTGCTGTTCCCTTATTCTTGGATTTCTGTTTTTTGGTTTGGGTTTTGGTTTTTTGTTTGTTTTTTGTTGTGTTTTTTTTTTTTTCCTAAAAGGCACTCCTTTGCTATCATTCCAAATGTATTCCTTTTTATGACTTGTTAGCTAATGCCTTTTTTATTCTTTGGGAATACTAAGGGTTATCCAGAGCCCCTTACATTTACCATAATATACACTATTCTTCAGTAAAGATGAGCAAATACTGTTCAGTGAATAATCTACTTAGAGAATTTTACTTACAGCCTTCAGAGAAAAACTAAAGGCAGCAACTAAACTTTCTATGAAGGCTAGCAGTGAAATTTTGTAAGGAGGTTATGGCTTTATGGCATTCTCATCACATTCCTATGCATGCCTATATAGTCCTAATAACACAGAACATCTTCAGCACTTTGGCTGCTTTATTTAACTTACATTGTGCCAAGACTGGAATTAAGAATCACTGGATACCTGCTCATTTTGCTGAATCCATCACTGCACTACACTGTCTTGGAGATTGATACTAGTGTCAATAGGTGTCATTGGCTATCTAGTTATTTTATGCTATGCAAATATCTTGGTTGTGAAGGCTAAGGGATAAATCCTCCAGAATTTTATTTGCTTTACTTTAGGGCTACAGCAAGGATTTCCTTGCAGCTTGTCTACTTTCTCACACCGCATCCTTGTGTAAAGCGGTATTTGTGTTGCAAAGTTTGAGATTTTTAGTCTCTTAAGTGTAGAAACTTAAACTTTGCTTACAGCAAATATTTATGTAAGTATTACTGGATATTTTAAATTATGATGAAAAGTAAGTAAAGGGTTATAAAGAAAGTTGGAATTGGTCAGAAAATATCTTTCACCTGTTGAGGATTTGCTAACTCTTTGCTAACAGTTAAAAATTTAGATCTTGGTTACTGGTATATGTAATGAAAGCAAAGTCAATGAAAGGGAAAGGCTTTGATACCTTGGTCTGATATGGTTTTAGTTAACTTACAGATGGTGTATTTGTTATGAATATTTTTACTTGATAGAAGATTTTATTCTTGGATAACAACGGTAAAAAGAATCATCTAATGACAGGGACCACTGTTTAGTCTCAGTTTTTGTATGTGAATACATAATCACTTGCATACACAATTTCAATACCCTGCCCTGAGCATGCACAACTGACATGAACAGAATCCCATTTATACCAGACTATATGCACAGTTGTGGTTGCATACAAAGTCACAATGTAGAATGCTGTGTGTAGATGCCTTCAGCAAGTGCTCAATTGAAGTCAAACTTGGAGGCATATCTCCCACTGGTAATGATATTGCACAACCAGGGCATTAGCTTGCAATTTACATGAGGGTTTTGGTCTATTTAATTTTGTAATCTTTTCATTTTGTTTGCCTTTCTTACCCGGGGGATTAGGAAACTGAAACTACAGTTGCAGCAGCTTCGGTGGAAAGGGGCAAGAAATGCCAGCCATGAATACCAGGAGAGATCTTGTGCTCGATGTCAGAAATTGCTTGGGTTACTGATGAACAGGGGTGCAGTATGCAATGGGTGCAGTCATCGAGTGTGCTCTGAATGCCGTGTCTGCCTGAATCCCTGCCTTTGGAAATGCACTGTTTGTTATGCTCATGGGTAAGAAATGTTATTGGTTTGGATAAGTGCTGGTTTACACTGTTTACTCAGTGGATACATGCTGGTTTATGTTTCTGTTGCTTTAAATAATTAATGAAACCAAGCCTCTGGTGGAATGAAAATGTTATATGGAGTCCTGGTAGCAGTGAAGTTGATGGGAATTTTATGTTATACTTCATGTAGTCAGGATTTTGAAAATGTTCTTGTATTTTGCAAAATGAATCCTCGGGGTAGGCCAGAAGTAGTATGACAAAGATGATAACAGCAAAGCACAGGAACAGTTGTTAGTTTCTGAACAGCAGGTAGATCTCCTTCCCCTGACTCAATACTGAGCCAGTAGATCATAGCAAGTTACTGAAGGGGTAACTAGTACAATATACACAGGTAGTGAATTTTTTTTTTAAATTTAATATTCCGCATTACTACTTACAAAGGTATATTTTAAATGTCTAAAATGCCTTAAAATCAAGCCACTGAAAGAGCAAACACCATCCTACCTATAGTTTGTCCATCTTAACATAGAGTAAGGTTAGGTGTAAAGTGGCAGACCCAGGGATTTTGTGGCTGGATTTTGGATATTGCTGTAGCTCTCATGTTAACAGGTTTTGCTTTCTTAAGGAAACAAGCCCTACGTAAATCTACTGTCTGCATGTTGTTGCCAATTTGAAGCAATTTTGTCAAGGAATGGTAATAAAGATGTGATTTTCATAGAAAAAATGAACTCCTGGGTAGAGAAAAAGTGTAGTGGTACCTTCACGACGAAATTTTTGCAGTGGAACTTCATCCTATAATAAGTGTCAGAAAATCCACAAGGAACAGAGATACTATATATGCCCTAAAAATTAGTAAGACATTTAGATGAAAATTTCTACCCTGTAAACTCCAGAGAATCCTTTCTTCACTTAAAATTCTTTCTGTCTCTTTAATAATGGATTAATTCAGATTGCAGACTTCATCTAAGTCTGTTGGAGACAAAATGCAAGAGTCAAATCTGCTGCAGATTGGCTTTTGACAGAGCTATTTGGTCTAATATCCTTTTATACTTGTTAGTCATAGCTTTCCTGATCCTTGTGTCTGTGTATGACATTGGCAGTACTGATGTTGGTTTCCCAAAATGGAGAGAGAGAGAACATGAAGCCGTTGCACCATCAGGGTTGTGGAGCTTAATGCTCCTTGGTAGCCATCCCAAGTTCTGCCTGGGAGCACATCCTCCGTTGTTGACTTTCCCTGCTCTTCAGACTAGCCTGCAACTGTAAGCAGTCAGCACACCAGGCAGCACAACTACCTGGGCTGTACTGTAACTTGCTTGTATAGACTTGAGTGGATCCAAGACTCCTGGCTTCAAAGTTAACACCTAGAGCAGTATGCATTGCTTTGCATGGGCAGTCCTACATAGGAAAAAGTGGGAGGAGGGGAAGGAGAGGAGGAACCCTTTGTTTGCAGACCCACAGCAAAATTGATCAACAGAGTGAGCAGTCATAAAATCTTAGCTTTGTGGTAGGATTAAAAAAGAAAAATTGTTGGATTGTTAAATAGCTACCAAACATATGAATAAATGCATTTTGGAAAATGTTGATTCAAATGCCTTTTGTTTGCTTTTCAGAGATGTGAAAGTAAAGGCTGGCGAATGGTTTTTTGAGGAACGAGCAAAGAAATATCCAGGTGAAGGTAATCACTGACCATGTCATGTGTAGTCCTCATCTTTATGAAACACTGAATGTAGTTTGCCACTGTATTTAATGTTCCTTCCACTTGGTGAGAGATTTGTCAGAAATTACCATGCAGTGCATCTGTCTATGCACTAGATAAAGCATGAACACAAATTAGCAGAATGCATTTAAAAGTATAATTTACTTGGTATGAGTAATAGGAATAAGAAAATTGTTGGCCATATCAATTTAAGTTAATGAGCATGGAAGACTTCTGAGAAATACAATGACATGAAAAAAATAGAGAAATGTTAAAATATGTGTGCAGGAAGGAAATGATCTTGCATCCATTGTCTGTCAAAGTTAAAACTCCAGTTGTTTTCACTGAGACAGTTCTAAAGCTTGAAGTGGTGACAGAATGGAATAAAGAAAAACATGCATAGCTATAAATCATAGAATCATAGAATATGGAAAGGACCTTAAGATCATCTAGTTCCAAACCCCTGCCATGGGCAGGGACACCTCACACTAAACCATGACACCCAAGGCTCTGTCCAACCTGGCCTTGAACACTGCCAGGGATGGAGCATTCACAACTTCCTTGGGCAATCTGTTCCAGTGCCTCATCACCCTTACAGTAAAGAACTTCTTCCTTATAGCCAATCTAAACTTCCCCTATTTAAGTTTTAACCCATTACCCCTTATCCTATTACTACAGTCCCTGATGAAGAGTCCTTCTCCAGCATCCTTATAGGCCCCCCTCAGATACTGGAAGGCTGCTATGAGGTCTCCACGCAGCCTTCTCTTCTCCAGGCTGAACAGCCCCAACCTTCTCAGCCTGTCTTCATACAGGTGATGCTCCAGTCCCCTGATCATCCTAATGGTCCTCCTCTGGACTTGCTCCAAGAGCTCCATGTCCTTTTTATGTTGAGGACAGCAGAACTGTACACAGTACTCCAAGTGAGGTCTCATAACTGTTCCTTTACTTTCAGCCAGCTGTGCCACTGCCTTGTGTTCAGTCTTTTCAGTGCAATTACAAATACAAAGGTCTAAAAGAAATTATAGAGGATGTGGATGGGTTGCTCTATGGGGAATGTGTTTTGCCAGCCAATGGATTGTTGGTCTTCGGTTTCACCTGCAATGACTAATGAGGTGGAGAGGATTTCCTTCCTTCTTCCCCTCAGATAGGCACATATTTCACTTTGTGCTTGACTGTAGCTAAATGTTGAAGTTTTACTTACAGTATCTGCATCACATATAGATTAAAGAGTAGCTGGTATATAGGAAGGCACTGAAACATCTCTTGGAAAACTTGAATAGGAAGAAGTTTATAAATGGAAGAATGTAGTCAGGCAAATTTTGGGCAGTAGGTATTCACAAAAGACAATAGGTAGCATATTAAGAAACTGAACTACAGTTCCTGCAACAATTCATTTAAAATTTGAAAGATTACATGGAATTCAATACTAGCTAACATAATTTCTGATTTTTAAAATATTAGTTTAACAGTCTGTTATTGGAAAATGCTGAGTTTGTCTCAGAAACTGAACCTCATACTGCAAGGTACTGACTGTCCCTCTTTCCAGTAAAATGAATGAGTTCTCACCTTGCATTATCAAAGCTTTGTGGGTGCTTTGAAGCATTTTGCTTAGTTAGTTGAATAGTAATACTGTTGAAGTCACAAAAATCTAAGGACATGCAGAAGATAAGCTTCCAGGGAGATATATGTTTTGTTTAGTTCCTTTGGTTAGACCAACTAATATAATTAAAGGGATTAAAACCGTCAAACTTTGAAACAGCAGCTATTGTAGTTATGTGTCCTTCAAGTCTGGAGAGACAGTGCCCTCTTTTGGTTTGAAAATATAACACCCTGGAAGTTTAACTGAAAAAATACATGTTACGGTAAAGTTTTTCTCATGTAAAAAGTTATATCAGTATGCTTTTTACTAATTTTGTGTAGCTTCTACCTAAAGAATAAAAATGCTTTCATCAAAGTGATTGCCTTTCCTGAATAATGAATTAAAAATCTAAGAAATCTAACTTAATTCAGCAATACATCATGATGCCAAATATTACTTATTAATAACAGAGCATTAAGTCTGGAGCTCTGATTGAAGTTTGGAACATCAGTAAGTTGATGTAAGTTGAAGTAAGCAGTATGTTATGATTAATGACATAATCACCAAAGTATGGATTGCCGAAACTCAAAACACAGCACTGCACCAGCTAACATAAAGGAAAAACATGACTGCTACTGCTGAACCCAGGACAATGCTGTTTTCTATTGTATTAAGAATGAATAGCAATTAAAGCCACCCCAGATATTTTAAGTTGGCCATTTGTTACAACATTTAGCTCTTCTTCCTGTTTTGCAATCACTCAGGAGCTACATTTTTATGAGTCTTCATTGTTTCTGCCTGATGGAGTGCTTGCTCTCGTTGTGTTCACCTGAGGAATGCCACATGGTTGCTATTTCCCCACAGGGGTTGGCCTTGGCAAAGAGTTGTGAGCTAGTCATGTGTTTTCATGATTGTACAAAGTCTCTATTGGGGAAAGTGAAAAGAATTTTTTGTAGAGATGCAGGAGGTGACCATGTGCCTACTCTTGTACACGTTTTCAAGCTTTTCATAGTGTTTGAGTGTTATGGTTCAAGTGTCTGTCAGTGCAGTAGGTACTACCTGCTTCCTGGGCCTCAGGAGGCTGAGAGCACTTCTAACCTGTAGGAATGGGCCTGTTAGCACCTGTACATCAGCTGAGGTTGTCCTCAGCATTTGTGAAGTGCTGGTCTGAACATGTCGCCTGTGAAAGGTGAGGGTGAAATTGTGATGTGGCTTGTGATACAGGAGAAACTTGCATGTTGCTTGGCATGTATGCTGGTATGTGAGGCGAAGGGTAATTTTTTTTTACTCCTGACTTGCATGTGCATGAGCTCCTGTAGATACAGGCCAGCTCCTGAAAGGCACTGATTTTATAAAGGTATCATATGGATGTTAGTAACTGCTGCTGTTGCTAAATGACCTCTGTGTGGGTTTTCAGTTTGTTTGCTTTTCTCCTTTGCAGGCAGACACGAAACAGTTGGTGCGAAGCTCTTGAAATCTTATCAGAAACTGAGGTAAGACTCATAAAAGGACAAATGGTCCTAGGACACTGAGAATTTGTATAGGTGATATATTGTATGTTACAAACTAACCAACAGTTTGTTTTTATCGTAAAAAACAGATTACAATACTTTCAGCATACAAATAAAAATCATAGAAAAATGCCACTTTTACCTGTCAGCAATACATAAGAAGGGAGTAATTATGTTTAGAGTAATATGTATCTTATTTACTTGAAGGGATATATGTTGTTTTTGCCATATCTGCTTAAATTTTTACATAGCTGCTTACACCATTATCTTTCAAATTTACACACTATGACAGAGATTAAAATTATTTATGCAACAGCATCATTTTTTACTCAACGGGAGATACTGATAATCTGATAACTTTAGAATAAATAGTAGACAAGTAGCTGTCTGTTCAGTAAGATGCATCCACTTACTAAGCTTAAAACGAGTAACAAATCCAGTTTACACTGAATAAATACTTTGACTAGAGGCCTAAGCATAACCATATGTAAGTTATTACTAGTGATATATAATGAAATAAGTCTACTTAAACAATATTGCATAAAAGAAACCCTCTTCCTTAAAAAAAGTTAAATAAGATACAAAGAGATGGCCTCAGTTTTATGGTAATTAACTGGTGAGGCATAGCTGCATGAGACAGAAACTTACAGGTAGCTAGATATGATCCTAACTAGGGCTGCATAGGACTTGCTTTTATCTAGATGTGGTAAAAGTAAAAGGCAAACAAAAAAGAAGTTCACTAGCTGCCTTTAGGGTCTGTGATTGTGCTGTGGGAGCAGAATCGGTAAGATGACAGTGAGTTTTTTTCACAGGCTGGGGCTATTTACAGCAATTGAAATGGCTGGAATGCTGTAAAGGGGCTTTAATAGCTTTGGGCCCAGGCAAGGGCCTTTTAGTATGCTAAATAAAGATGACTGTTTTCTGGAAACATCTCTGAAACAGGGATGGGGCGTGTTACACAGAAATTGTGTTTTAACACTCCGGAAATGGATTGTGATAATGTCAACCATGTAGAATTGTAGAAAGCCTGTCCTAAATCAGGTCTTCCTGATTGTTTTAAATCAATAATCCTGCCTAGAGCAGCCCAAGATTAAAAAGTCAGAAAGGTAGTCATAATTGTTACAAACAGGCAGTCAACCTGTGATGCAACTATTAAACAGGATCTCAACTCGGATCTTTAGATTGCAGGAAAGGCAGATAGTAAAGATACTGTGCATGAATATGATTAATTTACCCATCTATTAGTATAATATATTAATTGTAGCACTGTTTATCTCTTAAATTTCTAGTAAAATTTCTGTCATACCTCCAACTCCACCTCCTTTCACAGAATCCACAGCAGGAAGTAACGTGATGGTAAATGTATGTATCTGCAAAATATACATATATATATCCACCTCTCAGGGTGCCATTCATATGAACAGGCCAGCCACAGAAATGCAGGAAATAGCAAATACTGCAGCATCATATTGCAATATAAATGCTCCCTGATGTTCCTTTGTAAGGTTTTTTACACACTGCATTGGTAGTAGTACAGAGAGGTCAGAGGCTGTCATGAGGGAAGTTTTCAGTTAGTTTTCAGTTTTGAGGAAAGTGATTAACCATGCCACTTGGCACTGGGATACTGCACCTGTTTTTTGGTCCCTCATTACAAGAAGGCTGTAGCTCCTGAGCTTACCTCTATCCTGAAGAATCTCATGATCCTATGATATTCAGTAGTCATTTATAAAGCTATAATTCCATGTGTTACTTTCATTACTGGTGGAACACAGTAAATTTGATGGTTGCCTTTGCATTACAATTTCTAATGGACAAACTAGTAGGGCATGGCTCAGAACTCGTTGAAATCACACTGAATTACTATTTCAGTTAATTTTGGACTGGGTCCTCAGGCCCTGGTTTGAAGCCCATTGCAATTCTGTAAACATTCTAATATGTGCTTACCTGGAGCTTGACGGAAGTTCCGATTCAGAGGCACAGGAACATCTGTAATAGATAGGACTTTCCTGCTTAGTATTAAATACATTACAACAAATTGGTGATGTAAATAGTTGTATTTAAGAAATTGCTGTGTAATCTGCCTACAGAGGAGTTCCACTTCTACATCAGAGTATGGAACTGAAAATATTATTTTCCATCTTCATACATTAGAATGACAGTCTTCAACCATGTTAACATATGTCCTCAGATGTATTTGTCTACAGAGCAAAGGGCTGCAGCCTTACCATCTGATTGTTATATGGTCTGTAGATAAGTGATCATGGAAATTTTAAAACATCAAATATTTTGTGATTTCTCACTTTTGACATCCATCTCCCATTTGCAGGAACTCGGTCAGTCTAAAAGTTTTAACAAATCTGTGGAAAACTTGTTTCTGTCTCTCACAACACATATAAAAAGTAAGTAACTTCCATTGCTTTATTGTTCTAGGGTAACATAGTGAAATGTTTTTTGGTCCAAACTGTTGGCAAAAAAATAGTTATTAAAAAAGGGTATTGAGAAGTGGCTGAAATGACTAATGCCAAGACTGAGCCAACCTGTAAAATAATACAGCAAGTATAGTTCTCCTTCAGTGTTTTGCTAATTGTTTAACAAGCTGATGATACTATCCCAGAATGCCTTATGCAGATGCGAAAAGACTGTTTAATGTCATTTTTCAGTTTACTGGGTGTTCAGATGCAGCATTTTTAATTCACATTAGTACAGTGTAATAACCGCTTTCTACTTTAGTGATATTCATGTTGTATCCTTGACTTGAACCCCAACTGACCCTGTCAAAGAATCTATCATGTAATGGAAGTAGAGTTTAATATTTTCATTCACTGGCAGTTTTCAAGAGGGCTTCCTTGCTTCCTCTTTCTCAGTCCATCTAGTTGTGTGCTTTTGTCCAGTTCATACTTTTAAGAGCCAGGCAGTCCTAACAACTCTTCTTTCATTCTCATACTTCTCATTCCTTCCATTCACTTATGCTACCTGCTGTTCTTGAGGGTACAGACTGGGTATGCACCTCTAAGGCTAACTACTAAGGCCAGCCTCTGTGAAGAACAAATTAAAGGCATCAGTGACCAAAGGAAAACAACTTCTGAGCCTTATGAAGATTACAGGGGCTTGCACATTTGCATATATTTGAACAAACCTTAGTGTTTTTTTACTAACTTAATCTTACACAACCCCAAATGTGGGATTAGACCTGAATAAATTTGGCTTTAGCGCCTTCCAGCCTTTACCCCTAACTCTTGTCCTAGCTTTTGGTTGGTCTTTAACTTTTTCCACCCATCCTAAAGGCCTGGTGTTTAACTAAACAAATTTAATGTTGTTCATGTGAACACATATTAAAGCTATGCAGAGACTCAAGGGCTGCCTCTTCTGAACAGAAGCATAGTGTAGGGTGGCACAGGACGCTTCACTGCTGGAAGCAGATAGCTGAGGTAGCACAGAATTGGATAAAAAGTAATTAATTCTGATTTCTGTTAATCTAAAGCCAAGTCATACCCCACAGTTACTGGTGAAGACTGTCAGGACTGCAGCAAGCTAATTTAATAGTTGACTGCTACCAAAAGAAAGGTCCTACTTCCCCGTCTTCCCCCCTCATCTAGCTTCCCTGTTTCTGGTTGTATGCAGCCATCACTTAACTTGAATTAGCATCAGTGTTTCTGGAGCCTTCTGGAAACTGATTTAGTTAATTAAAACGGCAGAACATTAGCACAGACAAAGCATGTAGGTGCTTTTCCACTGGTTCATTGAGTTGAATAGGTTCAGGGTGGGTTATATATGTTGGAGCTTGCACAACAGAGTGTGCTGGGCTATATGGCCAGGGGCTGAGCAGGGAAGAGCAGTGGTTGCAGAGGGAAAAATGGCAGCAAGTTAGCTCAGTTCAGCTGTATGTGGAGCCCCACCCAGGTGCTATCATTCTCTTAAGGTAGAACCTTTTAATTTGTAAGGAAATAACTGGCTGTTGCAATCACTGAAGTCAATAATTAGAAACTATAGGAAGTCTTATGGGGGAAAGGCTTGGGCTTCTTGGCTTAAGAAAACAGCTCTTTTGAACAGTGTGGCCTCTTAATGCAACCTGGTAATGTGCTGAGAAACGCTTTTGGTCACAAGTGTATGAAGTTAGTACTCTACCTTATCTAGATAAAAAAAATCCTAGTTTGAAGAGGTATTTAATACATCCAGCTCTTGTGTATTGCTGGAGAACTTCGTTCTGCCTCTGATTCTGGAGCCTAAGTATGTGCATGTCTGAGAGCAGTGGGAACAAAGGACTATCACGTGCAGCACAATGCTGCCTTGTACAGTCTGCTCTCTATGCTGTTACCTCCTGTTCCAGCATGGTTTGGCAGCAACGGGAGGTTATAATCCGATGGCTGCCATTTGGAGAATATAAAACGAGGTGCTGGTTGTAGTTTTATTTGCAGTGCAAAATCACCCTTGGCACTAGAGATGGTGTCTGTGTTACTGATATTTGGGTAGAGAAGCCAAAGTAGGAATAGATATGAAAGCTGAACAATCTTCTTTATTTAATTTGTTTGTTTTTTTCCTCACAGTAACCTGTTCTTTAACTTGTTCATTCTAGCAGAGTGTGAGGCAAGCTTGTGTTTCTGCTTCTCCTGCTGGTCAAGCTACTCAGATTGTATCTACCCCATTAGATTTCTCACTCCAGTTCTTTTTATGATCTCTGATTTCAGTGTGTATTTTAAAAACCTGGTTTCATTTACAGTCAGAAATGACTTAATTGAGCCTGCCTGTATATGTCATGTGATGCCTTAATAGTGTGCATAGAGTACAGTAAACAGCTGAGGACTGATTGCTGCTAAGAACAAAACTAATTCAAAGTGGCTTTAAGAATCACACTTAAGAGTGCAGTTTGGGGTTTCTTTAATACTGTAATGACCTGTTGTCTGAGGCTCCTCCACAGAGGCTTATGTTGTGAGAGAAATATTTATTTCTTCTGTATGAATTAAACATATGATAGCTATTTAATGTACATCTTATAAGTTATTAATTTATCATGAGAGACTATCTAGGGCTTGCAATGCAAAGTGTCTGCTGCTAAGCCTGCTAGTTTTCAACTTCAGATGCAGCTGAGTGCTGCCCTCCTCTTTATGTGAAGTTCTGACTGTACCCTGAGGAATAAGAAGCAAAAAGTACTGTGCTAAATGCCTAATTGTCCTTCAGATTTATTTGACAATAAACTAGGTATTGCTGAAGTGCTAATTCAATAAGCTACTTAAGTATGGACATAAACTTATCCATATGAGTAATGTTATTGAAGTCAATGAGGGCTACTCATGTTCTTAAAATTATATGTGATTTGGTACCTGAGTGTATAATGGCTCTCCTTTCATCTGTATTTTGGATACATTTTTAAATACTTTCCAATATGCTCTGCTTTCTAATTTCCATTGTCATGTTGCTTTATGTTATGGTGATCTTGCTTTTACTCTGAACCAAACCAAACTGCTTTACAAATGAAACTATATAAAGGGACTGTAGTAGCTACTTCTGCGTGGAAACTGTATTTGATAGCATACAACAATTCCTTGCAGTAGCTATAATGATAGGAAGCATGTAGTATAATCTCCAGTTGAAACAGCAGGAAAGATTTAGGTGGAAAAAATATTGTACAAAATGGGACGAGCACTTGCTTTCCCATCTGTTTTTTACTCTTAGGAGATCTGTACTAAAACTGCAGGATGAAAGTTTGAAAGCTACAGAGTTAGCCTATAAATCTACAGGGTTGGTTGCAATGTTTGTTATAGTGACTCCTCTTTTCATTTTCACTTCAGAAATCTCGAAGTCCCAGAATGATATGGCTGACAGATGTCTCCTAACCACAGATCATGGGCAGAATTTGGAAAGAAGGAAGCAAAGAAGGAGCCAGTCTGACACAGCCATCAACATTACAAGCAGGGTATCTGTTATTATTACACAGTCTCTTAACTGTAAGGGCTGTTTCAGGAATGGAATATGTTTGTAAGAATAATGACTTACACATTGGAATTTTACATTCATTATACGAGCAGGGCTTAGCTGTTGTTCACTGACCATGGCCAGAACTCTGATTCTTCACAAGGTTTTTGACTGAGTCTGAACACTTGATCTCAGCCCACAGCTGAAATGTTAGATTGAGATTTTTACAAAGACTTTCACACAGGGAGGGAGTGGGTCATTTCACTCCCAGTTGCTCACAGTCTCTCCTGAAGCTGATTGATGTCTGCTCTGTGTGATTGTTGGGCTGCTGGGAGGTGCTCTGTCTTTTGTCCTCTTCCTGCCCCTCTTGTTGCTGCCAAGCTATGGCCATCCAAAACCCATCTTGACAATTTCTGAGCTCTTTTTAATTTGGCAAGGAGAAAATGTTGCCTGCTGTTAGTTGTTGGGCAACTTGCCTTTTCATTTTGCTTTGGTTACAGTCTCTAGCTTTCAGTGTTTTCTTGAGAAGCTTGAGAAAAGTCTGGTCATCTGTTTTTCCACAAATCATGCAGGGCTGAAGATGATGTCGCACATCTGCTTTAAAGTTACACTGAAGATTTTGTGTTGTGCACTTTTACCTCTCAAGTGACCAAATTTTGGCCATACTCAATTTTCTACATAGTGGGTACTTACTGAATTGCTTTGTTCATCTGAATGAGGTAAATGTGGTCTACTAAGTGCCTGGATTAGATGCTGAGGAAAGCTTTTGCTTTGGACCTCGTGGTAAATACTTCTCACAGCTCCCTTGATGCACACTTTTCACTTTCCTCTGAGGTGTTAAGTGTTGATAAATGGAAGAGACAGGATGTCGGACTGCGTGGACTAGTGGTTTGAATTGGCCCAGCAAGGTCTGTGAACTCTCTGAAATTAGTTCTGGTATTTTTGTATGCAATTATATTGTAAACAAAACTGGCAACAGTTGTTAAGTACTGGAGTGCTGCTTTCATTGTGGCAAACCACGTTTCAGTGTGGCTTTATTCCACTGGCAGAGCACTGTTTTTTTTAATGCAGAAAAAAACATTGCAGTTGGAGATAATATGGACTTAAACTATGTTGCGTTGCATGCTGATCACATGCAGCCTGTCATGTTGATGAATATGGATTCTTTGTCATGAATTGGATTCATAACATGAATTGGATTCATGACATGTCATGAATTGGATTTGTCATGAATTGGATTCAATATGAATTCTTTGTCATGAAGATGAATATGGATTCTTTGGCTTGAGAAATGTACTAGTAGGAGATTACAAATTATTTGTGTGGCTTTTTAATTGCTCATTTAAAGACTTGGTACTTATGTCCACCTTTGTGTTACAGAATTTGGAAGATAGATTTCAATGGGCTTTGTGCGTCAGAGCATTATTTCTCTGAGTTGTGGAGCTTTTGTCTCATTCAAACCAGTTAGACTATATTTGTGCTAGAATTTTAGTTTTACTAGAATTACTGTTGATCTTTTTTTCTTGTAAATGCCATCTTTGACATTTAGAGATTTGGGTTTTTTAATATTAAGGAAATTTTACTCAGTTGTCCCTGCACTTATCTGATGGCTTTTGTATCTGTACTGTGATTTTAAAAATGAGTTTTAATTTCTGTCAATGGCAGTATTGCATTATTCTTCCATTTATTTTTTTCTTTTCCATCTTTGTTTTCCTTCAGTAAGGGTAGATGTTTACATCATTACTAAAAACATGACTTCAGTTTAGAGACAGGACCTGGTTTAAATTATACTTGCAAAACAACAACTCATATTTATAACAAAATACGATGTAAATCTTACTTGCAATGATTTTCACAGAAGAAAGAATTCTCATTTTTAGAGAATGCATCAAAACAGAGGGGTGGTTTTACCTAGAAAGTGTGTGTTTTTCTCCAGGAATGGCTGGGAAGTAATAGCTGTAACTGTGCTATTTTGAACGTGCAGGGTATAAGACTGGGGCACCACTTCAGTCTCAAAAGCATTATCTGTTTCTTAATGAAGTTTTCCAAACATATTATCTGTTCAGAGCTTGATTCTTTCATTAAGCTTGAAAGAGGTTATATTTAACTTCAGTAATAGTGAAGAAACAATCCCACGGCAAGAACTAGCAGCCAGTGTAAAATCTGGATTTAGAAAGTTAACTGAATAGTGTTTTCTAGGCCTCTCTCTGTCAGAATCTCCAAGCTCACTAAAGGAACAGCCTCACTGGGGGAACAAGCAGATGTATGGAAGCTTTGGAAGCTGTGGTGTGTCAGTAGCTGTGGGTTATCTCTCCTGTGACAGTGAATGCATGCTGCTTCAGATGTTAGAGCTGGGCTAGGGGAGAGTCTTGCTTGTGTGATCTGCTAGTTTAGTGTTGCTAGTTATGTTGCCTTGTCAATAACTTGTGTTCTGTTTAACCCAATAGTCTTTTCTGATCCAAGTAGAAGCTAAAATTTGGTGTGTAGTAGGTTGTTTTGGTTAGCAAGTGGGATTTGTGGTGTTTCAGGTTTTATAAAGCAGAAGACAATTTCTCTACTGAGAAATATGATGGTGGTCATTGGGGATATGTGAGACTCTATTCTGAATGTGGTTTCTGTTCGTTTCCTTTTCACAAGAGAATTTAATGAATTCTTACATCTATTCTTAAAGTAGAGCAGTTACTACCCGTAACAATTTCTGTATATAATAACAGACTAGTGGTTTGGATTTAGCACATCCTGTGGTTTAGGTTTTGGGTTTTTTTTTGTTTTTCTTTTGGGGGGGGGGGGAACTGTGTTGTTTTGTTTTGTTTGTTTTTGTCTTCCCAGAAGTACTGTCAATATATCATCTCCTCTGTTATCCTCATTCTTTAGTGCTTTCTGCTGATTGTGTGGGAGGGGTTCCCAGGTTTCTTAAATATATGTAGTTTCTTCTATGCAAATATGTTGAAGTCCTTTTTGTTGGTTCAATTACACAATGTTTTTTCCAGTCTTTCAGGTAATCCCTGTTATACATTATTTTTAAGAAATTATTTTATTAGCTCCTAACCATGTAAAGCTTCTTACTTCACTCTTTTCCTACCCATTGAGCTATGAATGTACTTTTCATAGTTTGTTTTATCCAGGGGTGGTGGTGTGCCAGAATGAGCTAAAATCTATTTTCAGCTTATTTCTAGCCTTATGTATTAGTCTTTCAGCACTTCATTCTAGTAACTGTTGTTACTTGTAACAGAGATGGCTGAAGTTAAATCTCAAGGAGTTTAGCTGCTATATATGTTAATTTTTCACAAATTATCAGGGTATTATTCATGGGAAAATTGGAAAAGTGGATGGACATAGTCAAAGCAAAGTCAAGAACACCTCAGAAATGTAAACTTTGTCTATAATCAAAGTTAAATAAGAACTTGAGAATCTGTTTCTATTTTCAAGTCTCTTTCATCTTGCTTTCATTCTTGCATAGGCAGACATGGGCCTGTGTCATGCATATTGCAAAATACTGTTTTGAGTTTCCTGGAGGCAAGGTTTTGTTGTTTTGGTTTTTTTCTTTCACAAAATTACTGGTTTGTTAAAGACTAATAAGGCCTTTTATTAGTATATTGCTACTTTTTGGTCTGTTATTAGTAGACTGTTAATAATTGCTGCAGTACTGATTCTTAGATTAGGTTGTGTTATGTTTGGAAAATTATGAATATACTACTAGCTGGGATGGGGAGAGTTGCAAATAAAACTAATAATTCAATGGAGTTACTAAATTGTCTTTGAAAGTGTGCCAGCTGTGTGACGTTGATCAGAGTGAATTGCAGCAATTCACTGAATTTTCTTCTGATAGGATAGCATTCCTGAAGGAATCAGGGCATTTTTCTTAAAACAAACAAAACCACCACACCCCCCCTCCTTCTCCCCTCCCAATTAATTACTTGCTGGATTTCTTACAGATTAAAAGTACACCCAGTCTTCAGCAGCTCATTACTGGGGCCCAAAATGACATTGAAATTCTGACCAAAAGGAATTGCAAGGAGGAAGAAGGCATAATAACGAGTCCTACAAGTGATGCAGTTTTCTGTGATGGCAAAACACATGTAAGTTAACAGGTGGAAGCACAGAAGCCCAACAGAACAGGTGTCTAATGGGAACAGATATAAAAGCTATAATATATATAATATATAATGGGAACAGATATAAAAGCTATTCTTGTGCAAAATGTTGGTGTATTTTGGGTTGCATTACAAAATGAAGGAAGACTTTTACTTGAGTTTGTATCTGATGAAAGACTAACTGCCTTTGGCACAGTCTCCAGAGTAACACTGAACTTTCTGAAGCATAAGTCCAATCAAATTCATAATGGATAGTTGATGGATATATCCATTAATAATGAATAATTGATAGATCAGCTTCCTCTGATTTTGCAAATGCAACTAACATTCTTCCCATTTTATAAGGTTGGAATTGTGAACACTATTCTTTCTAACTGAATAATAGTTTTTCTCTTAAAACTTTATTTAATGGAAGGGGTTTGTTATTCTGTAAGAGCTGTGGTAAAGGAAATGTCAGTGGAAATTCAAAAGTCAGAATGTCAATGAATGAAGAGGAAACTGACAATGATGGAAGCCAGGGGAGCAGTTCATAGGTTTAGGGGATGGCACTGAATCATCTGCTGACAGATGGCATTCTGAATACTGCAAATGAGAGAGAAGGAAGCCAGTTATAAATGAATTCAGCACATGCTTTAAAGCCTCTATAATTGACTGTGGAAAGTAATTTCTATGTATTAATGATGAGGTTAAGCAGGGTGAAGTATCCGAAGAGTCTATGACTGATATAAAGAAGGAAATTAAAATGACTTTTAGGGAATCAAAATTAAAGCAGCCTGCTCACTTTATACTCACACTTGTGAGTATAAACACTCACAAGGGCCTTGGTGCATGCTCATAGTTTACTGCACTGTGGAGTCAAGGTGTTAAGCCGACAAATGGGTAAGTTTTGAATGACAGTTGTGATTCTTATGACAACCGTTCGAACTGGGCTATAGAGAGCCCAGGCTTAAAACTGAAATATTTTCTATTCTGAAATATTATCCCCCTGGATAAGGGGAAAGGTCAAGTTCCATTAAACTTCCCTTTATGGGTGTTGGATATTGATGACTACTCCATGAAAATGTATCTTTCAAAATATCAGATGAAATTGCTTTCAGTCATGCCAGCAGAAGTGCAATACATGAAGTCATTTAATCCCTCTTTACTGAACGAAAAGGACAAATGATTTCTGCATTGAATGTATGTGACTCCTGATCAGATGGAGACATATATAGTGATATTTGGTCCAAACATCATGAGTCAGAGCACACATCCAACCTTTCTAACTAAATAAGAGATTCTGTGGAATAAATATTGGGGATTTTGCAAACATTTTTTTAGGACATATAAGCTAAGACAAAAATCTGTTTGCATTCCTTTATCATGAAGGATTTTGGTGGAAACTAAGCATTTTCTCTTCAGAAGGATAAAAATGTCAGTGAGCGAAAGAACAGAGCTGAACAAAGCTGTAAGGGAGATTGATTACACTGATATGCATCTCGTGGAGGGAGCAAGATTACATACAAGAAGCATCAGGTCAAAACAGTCCCAACACTTAATGACTTCCTCAGTAAGCACTGAGTGCTCTGACCCTTCTTTTGTCAAGTCTGTATGTTACTTAGATCTTATAAGATAGATAAGCTATCTAGATAGGTAGCTGCTTTAAACTGATTAGGCTGTTGGCGTAAATTTTACAAAGAATATTTGGCAAGCTGCACGAAGGAGGAAGAGCTTCTGCATGGGAGAGAGATACGATCTAAACACTACTCCGCACTTTTAGCTGCTGGGTTGTGCGATGTAGAGCTTGTTGGTTAACCAGTCCTGTGCAGGCTGGTGTTTATTTTCAGAGGGAGGAGTGATCTAACACATACCTTGGAAATCTAGGGCAGTGTTGCTCTGAGATTAATCACAACAACAATTATGTCCTTGTGACATATACTATGCAAAAGGTTCCTAGGGCTAACTTTAAAGAATATCATTATAAATGAATGGAGACCAAACTATTTTGATAGATTTGATAATATGTTATGTTGAAGTCTAGGTAGTATCATGAAGTTACATGTCTGTGCTGGGCCATAGAAAGGATTAGTCTCTTCCTTCCACAGATGCAAATGCTGTTTATGGATGGACAGTGTCCAAACCTTTGCCCCAGAGGTGAAAGTAGGTAAAAGGAGAACAGAGTGGCTGAGGTGAGCTAGGGAATAACTTCTTTATGCACCAACATACAACAACTGGGTATCCTTGTATTTTAATCTTTCCTGAAATGTCTGCTGCAGTATGGAGTATGTCACTTTTATATGGAATTGGGGCATATTATAGAAAATATACTGGATTTGCAAGGCCACTTTTGTTTCCGTGATAGAACATAACATCTTGGCAGTGTACCATACTATGAGTTATGTATTAAAAGCAGTCTAGTTCAATGTTTTGTATGTTCTTGTATTTGAGAGGCTTTTTTTTTTTTTTTTCTCCACTCTCTTCCTTTCAGACACTTATCCCATTTTTCTCCTGGTAAGCTACATAGCAGTTTTATTTGGAGACAATTTCTAGATCTAGATATTATATAAGAAAGCATTTTCTTAGCCTGGGGAGCTTACAGAGGGGAAAAGGCAGAGCAGTAAAACTGTAATTACAGTAATAATTTTCAAGGCTATTGTGGAAGCAATAGGATATCTTCTACAGATCACCTTAAATCTTCTTGATTTGCAGTAGCTCTAGAGTCATGTCTGTAAAGATACTGACCTTTGAGGAAAATGCATGTCTTGTCCTATTTGATCTGAAGCTATTTTCCCCAAACATTTGTTTTTTCTTAGGGGAGTTTGTATAGTCTTAACAGCACTTGCACTGAGTCTGGAAATTTTAGCAAAGCTAATGTCATGGGAGAAATAGAGTTTGCCATGAGATATATCTTCAAAGCTTGCATCTTAGAAATTTGTATCAAGAGGTGCAAGAACCTGGCTTATGGAGAAGAGAAGAAGAAGAAGTGTAACCCGTAAGTATTTCGTAGAGAAGCAGAAAAAAACAAGGAAAATATTCTGCGTTTAAGATATTTCTGTATGTTGTGTCTGATATAGCATGGTATGCTATATTTGCACTTTCAGAGCATTCAACATATTACCAATTTTACATATACATACTTGAAGTCACCTTCACCCAGAAGACACATGGGTTTTGTGCACCTTACAGAAGGTGTTGATAAAGACAAGCTTGGTGATTAAAGGAGTCTTTCTGGAACAGCAGCTCGTGACAGGGCAATTTGGGAACACATCAGAAGTGGCTCAAGGTTCTTTGAGTCCTCTGGTAACTAAGCCAGGCAAACAGTTGCAGGAAGCCTGAAAGGCAATGTGGGAAGTGCTACGTAATGAACATTACACTCTCTTAGTATGTATTTACATACTTCTGTTGGTTTCCAAGCCAACCGGAAAAGTACAGTCAGTGTATTCACTTAAGACACTTGCCAGAAAGCAGACTTTTAGCTGATTTTTAAAACCTACTGAATTATTTAGCTTGTTGACTGGACTGGCTACTTTTCAATAACATTGGTCTGGGTTGGTAGAGCAAGAGGCTAAAACTTCTAGTATCTGGGTATTTTAAAAAGCTATTGCTATGGATAAGTTTGGAAGGAATAGGGAAGATGTGTAAGCTCTGCACTGACAGTATGAGGTACAGTTGATCTTGCTTCTGAGTAAGTTAATCAAGAGGCTGTTTAAAAATTGGTTTTAATCACAATATCTGAAAAGTATACAAGCATAGTTAAAAAAACCTTGGTATTATGTCAACAATCACTCCTTTCTTGCCAAGCTGTGAGCAAGCACTCTCTGTTGCTAATACTCTTTAGTTTTGAAGCAATAACACAACTCAAGCCCACTGAACTCTCATTAAGGCGAATATTTAATGTTCACATGACCTACACATAAGAAACTTTGGATAGGAATCATTGGAAGCTTGATTCAGCTTCCAGACATTTTTTACTGGGTTTCCTTGAATCAATGTTAAGTCAATTTTCAGCACTTCAGACAATCTCCCACTTTCACTATAGTGGCTGTTTTAACAGGTAGCATTTGTAAAAGCTATAAATTATTATGTATTCTTTGTATGATTATACCTTTTTTTTTTGCTACATGGTACTTGATGTTGTAAAAATGAGATGTTTTCTTCATGAGCAAGCAACAATGATCCAAAAGTTAATTGTGCTAATATTTTTTTCTTGAGCACATAATATACGGTTTTTATTTTTGTCACAAAACCATCACTACAGCTGACAAGGTGACTACCTTTGTGGCTATTTTATGAGAGGCCAAGAGTATGAAAGCAGAAGATTCCTATTCAGATACTGATTCTTTCACAATTAGAATTGAAACATATTAGCTGAATGGTATACAGGAATCTTTATAGTCTCTGTTTTTACTGAGAAAGGATATACATCACAATTTGCCATGTTATTGCTTGGAAAATTATAGTCAGGAAATTTGTTCAAGAATTAAGGAAAACCTAATTTTTCTTCTTCGATTGCTTCTAACCAACCATTTTCTCTGGTTACTGTCCATATATCCTTCTCTCTACAAGGTATGTTAAAGTTTATTTACTTCCTGATAAATCTCCTCGGAGTAAGCGGAAGACAACTGTCAAAAAGAGAACAGTGGATCCGGAATTCGATGAGACTTTGAAGGTACTGCTTGCAATTGTGTGCTGCTAAGTGTGCTTTTCCAGGGTAATGTTTCTTTTTGTAATGTACAATCCTGCAAGTTCAGAATTGTCCTAATGGGGCAAATCTATAAGTCACTGACAACAGTTAATAGAAAAAAATTATGGTTTTCAGTCCAAATAAGAGAAAGTGCTTTTGGAGTTACAATAGTAAGTTGCAAATCATTAAAAGAGTCTGCCTTTGTCCATGAAAACATTACTCTTGAATTCCATGTTGTTCTGAGTTACCTTGTGGGAAAGCAAATTGTCTTCCATAGATGCTTTCTTTTTTTTTGTACATTTGGGAACTGGGTGCATTGCAGAGCAGCATGTATTTTACACAAGTATCTCTTTCAATCAATACCCTTTGTCAGTGCCACTGAGAGTGTGTCTCTGCAGTTAGCTGAATGCTAACTGAATTCCACCAGCTGTAAAACACTGTCTGCTTCCTTTTCCCTGTGCAATTGATGCCAAGCCATCTCTTCAGAGTTCTAATTGCAAACATTTAAGAATCCTGCCAGATAACAGTAGTTGTGCTTATAATGCTTTAATGCCTTGCAATATTACTTCTTGCATCCTTGTAAGAGCTGTGTGTAGAAAATAGAAGCCATTATTTTTGCTTCATATACACTTAGTGAAATGTAAGCCTGAAGCTGAGTACTGCAACCTGGAAGAAGTTCATAGTATCATAGAATAGTTAGGGTTGGAAAGGACCTTAAGATCATCAAGTTCCAACCCCCCTGCAAAGGGCAGGGACACCTCACACTAAACCATGTCACCCAAGGCTCAGTGTTCATCCCTGGCCTTGAACACTGCCAGGGATGGAGCATTCACAATTTCCCTGGGCAACCCATTCTGGTGCCTCACCACCCTTACGGTAAAGAACTTCTTCCTTATAGCCAATCTAAATGTCCCCTATTTAAGTTTTAACCCATTACCCCTTGTCATATTACTACAGTCCCTAGTGAAGAATCTCTCTCCAGCATCCCTATAGGCCCCCTTCAGATACTGGAAGGCTGCTATGAGGTCTCCACACAGCTTTCTCTTCTCCAGGCTGAACAGCCCCAACTTTCTCAGCCTCTCTTCATACAGGTGGTGCTCCCGTCCCCTGATCATCCTCGTGGCCCTTCTCTGGACTTGTTCCAACAGTTCCATGTCCTTTTTATGTTGAGGACACCAGAACTGTACACAGTACTCCAAGTGAGGTCTCATGAGAGCAGAGTAGAGGGGCAGGATCACCTCCTTTGACCTGCTGGTCACACTCCTCTTGATGCAGCCCAGGATACGGTTGGCTTTCTGGGCTGCAAGCACACACTGCAGCCACCAGCTCATGTTCATTTTCTCATCAACCAACACCCCCAAGTCCTTCTCTGCAGGCCTGCTCTGAATCTCTTCTCTGCCCAACCTGTAGCTGTGCCTGGGATTGCTCCAACCCAGGTGTAGGACCTTGCACTTGGCATGGTTAAACTTCATGAGGTTGGCATCAGCCCACCTCCCAAGCATGTCAAGGGCCCTCTGGATGGCATTCCTTCCCTCCAGGGTATCAACCAAACCACACAGCTTGGTGTCATCAGCAAACTCGCTGGGGGCACACTCAATCCCACTGTCCATGTCACCGACAACGATGTTGAACAAGACCGGTCCCAACACCCATCCCTGAGGAACACCGCTCGTTACTGGTCTCCAGCTGGACATTGAGCCATTGACCACAACTCTTTGTGTGCAGCCATCCAGGCAGTTCTTTATCCACGGAGTGGTCCACCTATCAAATTGTTTTCCCTCCAATTTAGAGACAAGGATGTCGTGTGGGACAGTGTCAAACGCTTTACACAAGTCCAGGTAGATGACATCAACTGCTCTACCCCTGTCTATCAGTTCTGTAGCCCCATCATAGAAGGCCACCAAATTGGTCAGGCAGGATTTCCCCTTAGTGAAGCCATGCTGGCTGTCACCAAGCACCTTGTTGATTTTCATGTGCCTTAGCATGCCTTTCAGGAGAATCTGCTCCAAGCTTTTGCCAGGCACAGAGGTGAGGCTGACTGGTCTGTAGTTCTCTGGGTCATCCATTTTCCCCCTCTTGAAAATGAGGGTTATATTTCCCTTTTTCCAGCTGTCGGGAACTTCACCTGACTGCTATGATTTTTCAAATATGATGGACAGTTGGATTAGTTTTGTTGTTCCCAGCTCCAGTTGTGTACTTAGATCACTACAAATCAATTTTTTTGTGTGTGTTAGTGCACTGCAGTAGTACATAAGATGATGACTTCTTCAGTAATGTGTTGTCTTGGAAAAGATAAGAAACAAAGTTAATGGAGGGAAAAACTTGTATTGTTGGTCCTTGAACTACACAAAAGCTTCAGTGTTACCCCCATCTTTTGGTGTGTATGAGCAAGAATTTTTAGTGAGTGAAACAGGCAATGTGTTTGAAAAGACCATTGTAAAATTCCGTAGCAACAACAAAAAATTTAAGTAATATATGTAACTCTTATATAGCCTGAAGTCTGTATATAGGGTTTAGCTGGGAGAAAAAAGATTGTGAAGTTGGAATAACTGATCCTAATTTTATAGTCCCTTTTCTATGCCAAATCATGAAGAACTGAAAAGGGGAAAGTGAGAGCCATGCCTGAGCTGGCTCTATGAACACTAAAGTTAGTTTTGTTAGAAATCTTTTTAATTAGTTTCATTATTAATTTATCCAGAGTAGTAGAAATGGTCAGAAGACCACAGTGCTAGTGCAGGTAAACTACATCATGACACCAAGATCCAGCTTGGTGAGATACAGCTGCAAATGAAGGTGCCTACATCTGGGTAGCTTCATGTGTGAGAGGTGTGTAAGTGCTCTTGAGAATTACTGGAGCCCAGGGTGATTAGTTCCACAGCTTACACCCAGCCTGTGATTCAGCAGCCTAAGTGTGGGTAGTGATGTCCTTGCCTCCAGCTTCCAGCCCAGGTGGATGTAGGTTCCTTCTAGGCTGGGTATCACATTTGCCAGTCTTATGTGCGTATGTTAGATACCCAACAATATCTCAACAGGCTCTAACTATGTTTTGGGAGCAGATCAGGGCTGTAATTAGTGATTGGCTGAATTACTTCTTTCTTCTTACTGACTGCATTGAGTAGATGTCCGCTCACCAGAATGGAAGTTGAGCACCCTTGTTAGGCATCTTAGTTTTGAACTGGCCTCCAGAGTAGCCAAATTCTGCTTGGAGTGTATAACAGAGAGAGGGAGAGAAGGGAAAAAAAATACCTCAAAAACCCCACCAGCAAAAATGGGCAAGAATTATTTCAAGTTCTGAATTAATAACCAGAATCTTTAGCAAGGCGGGTCAAGGTATTCCTGGAATGTTATTTCATATTTGGATGAGTGTTATTTAGCATTTAAATAGTGGAGCAATATGCAGATTGCAAAGCGCATTCAGACAGCATGGTTCTGTCTGTATCCAGGTATGCTGTGGCTGGCCTGGTTATGGGCATGGGTGTGCATTCACCCTCTAAATAATATTTATCTTTCCAGTACAAGATTGAATACTCCCAGCTGGGAAGTCGGCAGCTTCAGATCTCTGTGTGGCATGCAGGAGCACTCAAATACAAGGTGTTTTTGGGGGAAGTGGTGATTCCACTGGCAGCATGGGATTTTCAAGAGGACTCAATGCAGTTGTTCAGCTGGTACCAGCTCAAGCCGAAGGTGATTATTTTTTTTGTGCTTAGTTATATCTTAAAAGCAAGATGTAGTAAAAGCTATGAAAAATGTCACACTTCTAAGATCATTGGAGGGAAAAATGCTGTCAATCCAGCCCATTAAGGAGGACTTGTTGCAAACATAAATAAACTGTGAGAAGGATGTGGAATGTTTGCAGTAATGCAAATTTCTGTGTGTTCCTTTCTTCAGCTTGAAAAGCCTGGACATGATCTTATCGAGTACAGTGGTGAACTCCTTGTGTCTGCAAGACTGTCAGCACCAGCTCAGTATAAGAATTTCCAGTTTGAAGGTATAAAATGTTTCAGCATACTTCACTATGTATGCTGAATCCCTTGGCTAGAAAAGAATTGGTATCAATGAGGGACTAGCAATGTGTCCATGTAACATGCCTGTATGGGGTTTATAACAGCTGCTGCAAACAGTGGTTTGTGGTGTATTATATTTCAAATTAATTAAGATCCAAACATTTGCCAACTTCATCTTTTTTGTTCTTTTTAATGCCAACAAAAGCTGCACATTATAGTGGTAGCAGTATGATGCAACCAGCTGTTTGGGAAGCTTGTGCCAGTCATAGTGTTGCTGGTAGACCTTGTTCTGGAGGTGGTGCAGTTTTAATGCCCAAGGTGGAGTCTGCCAATTTGGGGAAAAGGTGGAAAAGAAATGGCTGCAAGGATACCAACCACCACCCTTAGCTTCCTCCAGTGGTTTCATTTAAGAGAGATTGTTTCACTTAGAAGGTGTTAGGTTCAAAATGTACAGTCAGGATTCAGTTTTTGGAAATGAAAGACTTATAAGATGATACATAAAGTATTGCTGGCGGAGTAAAAGAAATACCTTGGGAGAAGAAGGGATAGGACAACCTCATTGGAAAATTGCCTCCCTAGATCATAGTGAGATATACAGAGGTTCAGAGCTCTACTAACTCTCTCAAGTGAGAGGACCACAGCATAAGGTAGAGGCCACTAAGAAGATCTAAGTAGCTGTTAGGCTAATTTTGTTTCCTTTTCTTTTCCAAATGACCTAAAAGGTACCAACTTTCTTTCATTTTTCTTCCCTGTGCATGCCTATGTATTGGGCCTCTATAACTAGAGCTGTAACAGAGGAGCGGAATCTCACTGTATTTGGCTGTTTCTCCTGCTTCTGGCTTTGTTTCAGAGAAACACTCCTGTAGGTACTGCCCTGTATTTACTTTATACAAATACATCAGAAAGCTCGGTCTTTGGAACAGGAATCACAAAGCAACCTGCTACTCATTGCTTGCCTTTTTGGGGAGTGTGTGACTCATACCCTGTACAAACAGGTTAAAGTCTTTCAAATGATCCAAATGATCCTGTATTAGCACTGTGAGTCCTTATCTCAGTAGTACCACTTAGGCATTTTTCTACTTACTGACAGTTCAGCTGAAAGCTTAAGATGTTTCTAACTGGTTATTTCATGTGATAAATGCTCTTGTTGCAGGAAGAAAAGACCAAGGCATTCCCAGCTGCCAGCTTCAGGTTGTGATAACTGGGGCCAAGAACTTGCCTGTGCTGAGAACTTCTGGAATGCCGAACCCATTTGTTATAGGGTATGTATGAGACCTAACACTTCAAACAGAAAATGTCATACATGTGTGAATGTACGTGTTAACATGTTTTCAGTAGGAGAGTGGCCCCTGAAAGTGCATTGTCCACATTCTTAGACATTCCTTTAATGGTGGCATTTGGGTGCCTACGCAACAGCAGCATTCAGCAGTGCAGTGACAGGTCCCACTGGCTCTTTGGATCCTGAATGGAACTTCAGCAGTGACTCATGCCACTAAAATTCAGAGGTCGCTAGTTTAAGTACCTGGTTTTAGATATTGGGGGTGGGGTTGGGGTAGTGCCAATCAGAGGATATTTTAATTCTTGTTTTTCATGTGTGCCATGGCAGAATTAAATATATCTTTGGGTAAAAGGAAACCTTTATCCTCTTCATTTTAGACTTTTTAAAAGAAGAGGGACTGAATTTTTCTTCAGTGTGCTGAGTAACTTGTATGTGGGATCATTTTACTTTCTTACTGTCCAGCACCAGATGCCACTGGAAGTATGATACTGGGGTACATTTCCACCATCATGTAAAGCCATTTCATTGTTTGCGGCACCGAACTTCAGTGAAATGGGCTGGAAATTTATCTACTGAAAAGCAGGTTTGGGGCAGATTTGGGTAACAGAACAGACAGTAAAGATTTTTTCAGCAGTCAGTGACAGCAAAAGGCAAACAGACTAGAAGAGCCTACTTGCACCCACAGTGAAGGCAGACAGGAAAAGGAACAAGTCCCAGAATAAACACATTGGGACCATGTTCTACCTTGCACTTAAGCTGAACTTTTGTGCTATTTAAAGCAAACCAAAGGGCCCTGGTTGATTATTGCAAATGTTCTGTTTTCTGGTTGAGAAATCAGTAACCTTGCTGAACTCTCATTGTTTTGGGGAAGTTGTCTTATCCTTCCAGACCAACCAGAGGTAAAGCAGAAGTCTTCTGTCTGGAGGAAAGAAGCCTGTCCCCAGTGGAATCACTTCTTTGTCTTTGATGGTGTGACCCCAGCTCAGCTGCAGCAGTCATGTCTACACTTGACTGTCTGGGACAAGTCAACTTCCAGCTCAAGCAATCAGTTCCTAGGAGGAGCTACACTTGGTGCAAGTAGGTTCTTTATCATGAAAAATTGAAGGCAATTGGGGAAAAGTTCATTTACTTTACATTCTAAATAATACTTACACTGTGCTATTTATCACCCACTGCTGTGTGCCTTGGGCTTTGATCCTGTAAGAAACACTACATGTGCTTTAGTTCAGGTCTTTGCAAAAGTTCAGGGTTGTCAGTGGGAATTTTCAGGAAAGCCATTTGTTAACATGGTAAGTTACAGGACTGAAGCCTGGCCATGCTAAGGTAGGCATTAAAAAGCTGGGTGGAGTTAACTCATGTAGAGCTCTTGTTAATGATTTTTTTAAGACCGGTTCTTTGAGCTGTTTCCTATGCATTGGTTAAATACTATTTAATAAAAAGGAAGCACAAGAACTAATGACCTACTAGACTCCAACCTTCCTTATGTTTGTGCTTATTAGTTTACAGCCACGAAACAATCCAGTCACTGGGAGATACAGACAGTGAAGCTTGCTCAAAAGGGGCTATTGCACATCTGAGTTTTGGGCTCTGTTCTAGTGTATGTGCGAGTGAGGAAGCTTGCTCTCAAGGCTGAGAAATTTTTGAGAGGCCCTCTGCTCACTGAATAGGCCCCATTTCACTTTTAATTGAAGGCTGCTGCTTGAAGACTGCCTCATGGAGTCTGTCTTCCCAGAGAGTTCTCAGATGAAAGGCTCAAAAAGATTGCTCAGACACTGTGTTATGGTATCAACACAGACTTTAGGGGAGTATTATCACTAATAGCTCAGTGCTGTGCAAGCTGCCTTATGAACTTGATTGTCCTACCCAGCATCTTCCTTTCTGCCAGAGCAGGAGCTACCTGCTCCTGAGTGAAGACGACTAGTCAAGCTCTAAGCCTAGTAATGCATTAGTGACTGGAGATGAACCGCAGCATGCAACCTAGTGCCATGCTGCTGTTAGTAATACGCATGCTTGCTCCTTTGCTTTTAGTCATATAACCAGAAAATTTTTCTTTGCTGCAGGCTGAATTCTTTAGTAAGTGATTCTAGTTTAACAGGATTTAAATAATGTTTCAAAATATAACTACAATTTATTGCAATTAATGCCCTAAGGCATTAGCTACAGAACAGCTAAAGAAACAGGTTCATTGTTGTCCAGTCAGTTGGGTAAGACCAAGTGAAAAGTAACTGTACCCTTCCCTTTTGCTTTGTTGCAGTGGAATGGTTTGGCTCTACAGCCCTTTCTCAGTCAGTGCTTCAATGGCAGGAAGTACTCTGCAGACCGAACACATGGATGGACTTCACACTTGTACTGCATTCAAACAAGGAATACTTTAAATCATAAGAGAACTGCACAACAGCTTTCCCCATGTGTGAAGCTTTCAATTCAAGTGGCATGTGCCTTTCAGGTCTGGTGAAAGGTACACTGCAAGCATACCTAGTCCAGCATTTGTGAAAGAGAGTTATACATTTGAAAGTGTGTGAGGTTTTATTGCTCCAAAGGTTAAGGCTTTGTTATCTGTGCATCTATCTGAAGTATAAGGTTTCTTTGAGAGCGACAAACTCAGAAATGCAGTGTGGTGACAAGGCAACAGTAGCCAGATGAGGTGCAGCTTTCTAGTTCTGGGCATAGAACTGTCATTCTTTAATCACAGATAGGAATACATCTTAAATAACTATTACTTTAAAGTTACCTGCCTTCACTCTCATTTTGATGTTTTATATGTTGAAGGAATTGTCCTGCACTCCTCAGCAGGAGTGAGGGACACCACTTAATAGAACAGTGTGGTTGCACTAAGTTCCTTGCTCTTATCAGCTGTAAGACAGTATTAACAAGATCCATATGGCACACAGAACAGGAGTTTAGCTAGGGTTATAATTTATTCATGTAAGCTTAAGGCCCAGCTGCTGTGTGAGTTCACTTTGCCTGTGAACTGTAGTGTTACAGTCAACTGTAACAAGTGCTGCTGTTAATACCTCAAGCCATTACAGATAGTACTCTCCTTTCTTCCTTCCTAGGTAATGTGGCTTTTAAGGAGACTTAAAGACACAGGGACTTATATGCTAAGCTCAGGAACTAGATGAAAATGCACACCTGATACAAAATATGCCCTACACAAGAACCACTTGACTCCAAGTCCTTTGTTACTTTGCAGATCTTTTATTTAGATGTTTGCTGCTGCAAATAAAAAACCACACACAATTTAACTCAAGTATAAAGCAGCAGAGATGGTGTAAATGGAAGAGAAGAGCTGACAACATACTGTATCTCACTTTCTAACAGATTTTCAAGGAAAGGGGGAACTTAGGAGGGGAAGGAATGGTCACAGAAATGCTCTCTACTAGAGAGAATACAACTGTGATATAAACAAGCAGTCCCTTCATCTTTGGAGTCTGAAACTTTAAATCAAACATTAAAAAAAAATTAGAAAATTTGTTAGAAAAATAGGTGCAGTAAAATTGTATCTATTGGATCATGAGTACATAGTAAGTTTTCATTAAGTATAAAAGTGATCTTTACAAATAATGCTTTGTAGCACATAATCAGTTAATGCACTGTATCAGACTAAGCATTGTTTAGGCATTTTTACAGATGCAAGTCTTATTTAATCTGAAAAGTAACAAAATATACAGAGCAAAACTATTTCCCTTTAAGCTACTGCAATCCACATACTGCATGTTTTTAATATATATATAAATACTACACTATGACTGATCAGTAATGAAGCTGGAATGCAAACACAGGAGTGTATTAGATTCCAACAGCATATTTGCCTAGGTGTTACATGAGGAGGGTATCAGTGTCCCTGTGCCATCACTGCAGAGTTTCTCCAGTTGAGAGCAGCAACCAGAAGCAGCCTAATTTCTACACAGAGCAGTTCTGAGGTGGTGTCAGTTCTTCTGTGTGCATGGGGTAGGGAACAGGTTGTGGGCATCAAGACCAAGGATAATAAACCAGGGTATATAAACACACATGCACACATACATACAGGGCTTGCAAATTCTGAGTTCTACAACCTGTCTTTGCAACTGTTGGACTTTACTACTGTAACTAATTATACAGAAACATATGGCACAAAATATGCCCACAGTCACTTAGTTTTAGACCAACCTGAATCCAGCACCTGCTTGCTTAAACAGAGATGTGACCTAAGGCCTTTTGGCACTAAGCAAAGGTGTGAGCAAGTTACCAGGATCAGTGGTATCATGAGTTTTTAACTATACCAAATTTAATAGGAGGTACAAAATAAAAGGGAGATTCAAACACCTTGGGGTTTTTAAAGAACACTTGTTATGTCTCATACAGTGACCCCTCCTCAGGGGAAAAAAAAACAACAAAAACACCCCCAAAACAAGAATACAGCATTAAGATCTGCCCTCCCCACAGTCCTTCCTTCTTGTTACAAACATCATTACATTGCCTCAAACTCATCAATTCTCTGCTTGGTGTTGCCTTGCCGGATCTGCCGCAGCGTCTTGTACTTGTCACGTCCCTGTCGCATGTTCTCTGAGTGGATAATATCATTGTGGGTCCTCTTGTTTTCATCTCTAGCCTGGGCCAGCTCATCTGTCAGCGCCTGCAATATCAAGGACAGCAGATACAGATTATACATGTGAAGCTTTCAGCTGGTGACAGCAGTGCTCTTTGGTGAGAGTTGACAGTCGTTAGATGAGTGGACAGAGTGATCTAACAATGATGGAGATACAACACATGCTTTCCATAAATGCTATGGATAATGTGCATAAGTAATCTCAAAGCCTCAGCAACGACAGTAACTGTTGTAGATCTTGTATTTAATTCCAACTGCCTACAGGAACTGTAAAGGAAGAGAAACTATTGTGCTTTGTGTGCTTAACCAAGCAGTTAAGTGGTCTATTTTCCAGGAACAACTGTTTCAATTACTCCACTGTCTTACCCTCAGCTGCCTCTGCACACGCTCATTCTTCTCTGCTTCAGTAATGCGCTTCTCCTCGTTGCGGTCATTCCGGATCCCCTCACTGGAGAACTCTGCACTGTAGGCAGAGTACTCAGATCCCTCATCTTGCAAGTTATCATGGACATGGTAGTTAACAGGCTCATAGACAGGCGGTGGGGGTGGAGGTGGAGCAGTCATCACCAGCTGTAGCTCCTCCTTTGTCTTTACCAGATCCTCCTGAGCTTCCTTGGCCTTTGGGCAGAGAGTGAAAAATAGTTTTAAATGCATTTCTTGCTTTACACCAGCTTAATGAACACTTTAACACTTGTCTCCCCGCTTTTTTCAAGCTACTATGAAAAGCAAGAAGAGGGAGTTAAATCTCTGCAGTTGACACACTGTTGTGGTCTTAAGCAAAACATTTTTGCTAGTGGTACTATCATCCACTGTGTAATTGCGTAATGTGCAGGGGATCTGAACAAAGAATCTTCCAACACAACACACTTTAGGAAGAACAATTCTGCAGGCATCTACAGTTATCTTCATCCTGCACTCCATCTGAAGAGTTGTAGGCTGTAGATATGGGTTCCAGATAGCAAGAACTCTGGTTCCCTGGTTGGCATTTTAATGCAATTGCATACTGGGCAGTCAGATTCCATGCTGCTTCAGAGGTTCTGCACTCCTGTGCAGTCTGCAGCACCTGCCAAAGGGCACTAGGAGAACCAGGCATGCTTGAGCCTGGCATGGGTTGGGGTTGGTGCATCCAATTATTAACTCTCCCAACCCAGGTCCAGGAAGCCACTGACAACAGCACACAGTTCTTGGGACTGGTACCTGCAGTGTGGCATCTTCTCTTGATTGATGTGATGTTTGCATCATGGGTTAAATACCTCATTAATACAATGTACCACTCCCCCCCCCCCCCCCCCCCCCATGTCTCCATGACTATAATTACACTTTTAGGTTTCATACAGGCTTCAATTTTGAATTTTGACTGAGGGCTTGTTGAAAGAAAGGTGTTTTACAGACATATTGCACATTCCTCACAAGTCTGCCCTTTGCTGTTGGCCTACAGATGTTTGTCTACACATTTAGAGAACTCGTATCAGGCTAAGCACTGTGGTATGCTCTGCTCAAGTGCAGAGCTCCAGAGCAACTTCGTAAAGCTGATACTCACTCTGATTTGCCATTCTTCAACCTCGCTCTCTTTACGCCTCCTTGCCTCCTCAAGAAGTGCAATCCTAGCTGTATACTCTGCAAGCTCTGTAGCCTGTTGAATAATAAAACTGGAATTACAAGGACTCTTCAAAAAAATCAAAACACAGAGCAAACAAACACTACTGACTGAGAAAAGATCCAGGTGTTACACTCCACTGTAATAAAGACTGAATAAGAATTTAAGACTTAAAAAGCAGACTGCTCATGATAGAAACCAATGCCACAATGATGTTATCACAGGGTCTACTACTTCACCATGTTTTTCTCTGGAGAAAAAGGCTTTACCTTACTTAAAGGGCATATTAACACGCCTGTATCTCTTATCCTCAAAATGACTGGGTCTTACCAGCTGTTCCTGGCTCTTTATCTGGTCCATATTCTGTCTCTCCAGCTCTTCTTTGGCCTGCAGAGCAGCCAAGCGATCAGCTTCTAAACGTTCTGCTTCTGCCTGCGCTCGTCTCCTTTCCTCCTCCAGCTGAATGGCTCTTTGGATCTGATCTGAGAGCTCTGGAACAAGATGAATCAATGTGGTTACTGCATAAGCCTGGTCAAAGCAAAGAGACTACAGGCAGTCTCCTAGGTAACTGCAGAAGTCATGACAAGCACTTCACTCCTGCTTGCAGTACCCCTTCACTGTGCACCTCAAAGTAATTATTTGTGTAACACATCAAGTAACTGAACTCGGAAGTAGTCAGCTGCACATGATTCAATTTTCTGCAAGATATTTGCACTGAAGCCTGCAGCACTGACATGATTCTGGTGCCCTTAACTGCACGGACCAGATGTTGCTGTCTCGAACTGAATTGAAACAGAAGCTTCCTTTTCACTTTCCAAAAGTACTTTTTCTGTTAGGAGTTAAGTAAAAAGTACTTGAGAGCTGAACGCTTACTGCCTGCTGGAAGAGGCCAAACTACTTGAACTCTCTTGGCAACAGGGGGAAATAGAGTTAGTGCCCTTCAGTTCCCAAATACAATTGGCAGATTTTATGCTACTTTCATACTTTGGCTGGTATCAGTATGCAAATGTATGTATTTATCCACATAGGTATCAGTAAGGCTTGCCAAGAGATCCCAGTGTCACCAAGGTTTAGGCTAGGTGTAGGTAGTGTCCCATATAACCCTCCTATGGAGCACAATACATATGGTCTGGTACAAGTACTTTACCTTTCTCTGCTTTCTGAGTCTTCACCTCATATTCCTGTAGCCTCACCAGGAGCTCCTCCTTCTCCCTCAACATTTGCTCTTTCTCCCTCTCAATTGTCTCCCTTTTCTTCTTTTCATTTTCTAGTTGTTGCCTGTTGGAAATAGATTTCATGCTTGAAACTCACTTTCAGACCTAAGGTACAGCCAGACAAGAATGCTGCCTGGGCATTTCTCCAGGCAGCTCAGTGGGAAGCAACTGCCACAAAATGAGAGCCAGAAGACAGAAACAAATATAGCTTGTTCCTTCATCACTTCAGAATTTTTGCTCAGTCCTGGATACACCACTTCATAAAAACATTTCTATTTTAGTTGCCTGCCATAGAAATTTAGAACACCAAATAACTACTACATGCAGAGAGAGAAAATCTGGACTTGGCACTGCAAGTCTGGACTGGGTATTGCAAACCTTGGTGCAGCAGAGATTTAACTTTGTTACTTCTGTTGCAAGGGAAGCTAAGAAGGCATAAGAACAAGAGCACTAAGGGAATGATAGCAAATAAGCCACAAATACAGGAGAAAAGCATCATGATTTCTTGAACCCTGAGCAACCTACAGCCAGTAGTGGAAGTCCAACAGAACCACTAATCCTTTTTCTGTGCTTGTAACAGGTC